TACAAGAAAGATTTTGGAGGGAAGCACATGTAGTTGTGGTACAAAACCTAAACAAGAAGAGAGGTGACGATGAACTTGCACAGCAAAGATCTTTCGCACACTTATTTGGCGCTTGTCAACATCACACCAATTGAGGTGGCACCAAAGAAGCGTGCATCTCCACACCACTCAAGGATTTAACAATAATGGTCCGCTACCACTTCCGCTTTACCAGGAAAGATTTGGGGGCTTTGAAAAGGGTGCCCCTTTTATTCATTGACGTAAGCCAGTGGATTGGTCAATTTTAGAGACGACCTTGTACACTGTATTTTCTCTCTGTCTCCAACCACAACACACACACACAAGACCAAACCAAAGATGTTGTTGCCTCGGCCCCCCACATCCAGTACTAGTACATGCAGGACCTCCTCTTCATTAGGAAATGTGCTTATATCAGTTTTGTTGGTTGCCAATCTGTTGGCGTTTGTTGCTCTGTGCCGTCAGCAACAGCATGAACTACACGTAAAAGTCCACACTCTTCAAGAGCGTCCAAGTCACCACCGTGCCTTACTGGGTGACGATAGTAGTAGTAGAACTAGTAGTAGTAGTAGTCTGTTGAATGTCAAGATTCTGGTGGCCATTGCAGCGTATGATTTTTCTCAATTGCCGCATTTGGAAGAAGTACTGGATGGCTATCACGATTTGTGTGTGAGTGGCGCCATTGTCAAGGTGGTCATCCACACCACAGTGGCCTGGCCGGTGCCCTTGTTGGATCTGCTGCAGACCCGATTCCCCTGTTCCCAGTTTACCATGGACATTGTGCTCAAATTGCCACGCATTCGATTGCATCTCGTGGATTGTCACCGAAAACTCTTTTACACGCATTTGGAAGAGTATGATCTATTCATTTATACAGAAGACGATCAGAGAGTCACACCAAGGACAGTGGCAACCTACTTGCAAGAAACAAACAAGATACAGCAACTTATCCTTCATCAGGAGGAGGGACACAAACAATACCAACCGGCCGATTTCAATGTGGGCATTGTCCGATACGAGTACAATTTCCCCGCCAACATGGTCATTGACGATTCCACACGCGCCGCCACGGAAAATGTCACGCGCGTCTATTGGGAACATTCCAGTTTCAAACCACCCATTGTACCCAATGCCATGGATGCCGTGCCACAGCATCCTTTGGCAGGCAAGTATGTGCACATGAAAAATCATCATCAGGGCATGTTCTTGGCCACACGCGCCCTCCTCAAAGCGTGGAAAGATCGATGTCAATTTGATGTGGCGTCCAATCGACCCGGACAAAAGAAAAATCCATCCCAACCTCTCTTTGGGACACAACGCGTTTGGATGAGTTCCCAACAATTGTACGGAAACAAATTCGGATGTGCGGTCCAACAGGTACTGCCGCTCGACAACTTTGGGGCACTGACGGTACATCATTTACCCAACAAGAATTATCGACGCGTGGGACAATACCGGACCCGAGACACCAATCGAGATGAAGGAGTCGTCGTGGAACAAGAACAATTGCTCACGGCCATGCAGCTGCATATTGCGCTCTTACGGGCACAACAACAACAGCAACCCAAAAAGAAGAAACAAGTCAGAATTACCATGGATGCCGACCCCGACAATCCACCCAAAGCACCAGCGCAACCATCCTGGAAACCAAGAATACAAGCCTTTCAAGCATATGTGGAACGAGGAGGAATCATGACCGAGCAAGATATGCAAATGACATTGTTGCCGCCAGCGGAGGATTGAAATCTTCAATCATAAACGGTTGCTTCGACAAGGGTCATCATGGGGTGCACAGGGAGGGACTGGCTGGTGATGGGGCCGCCATGTTGGTTGGCTATCTGGAGGCTGGGTACAATTGAATAGACGGGTCCATGGAAGGGTTGCGTATTGGCAAGCATTGCTCCATCCAGACTACGGTACATCAGGGCCCTTTTGAACTCCATTCATATTGATATGATGTTGTTGTTGCCGTCACTGGCTAGCTACTGGTAAATATACCGGTGGATAGATGGCTGAGTGTGGTCAGCGTCAAAATTAGTTCTTTTAGTTGGATGGCTCAGCTCTTGTTGCCTGCCTGGAAAGAATCTTATGACTTTTAGTTCGTTTGCCCGGTCCTTTCTAGAAAACCCCACCGTAAGTAAATATTATTGTAAACATCATCACTCGACTCGTCTCGACTCGCGAACGATTTATGGTAACATTCATCAGCTTTTTCTCATTCTAACACAATCCACATGATCTCTCTGGAAACGAACGCTAGCACACGTACGCTCCTTTGTACCCTTTCATCGTAAAGTTTCGGTCCTAAATCTTCCTCACACCCCGCCGCGCAAAGAGTAAGGACAAGCTCTCGGGCCGGATTTATTTATCCCACTGCCTGCCTCGCAGAGTTCGTTCCCAATCGCACGTGCCCGACGACGTACTGTTCTGTACAATGACTGGCTGTTCCTCAGTGACGACTCCTTCTTTTGCAACACAACATGTTGTACGCTGTGGTCCAAGATACTTCAACTATCGTCCACATGGACATGAAGGCCAGCAATGACACAATGCTCACACTCGATAGAATGGTACGAGAGTCGGCAAGGCACACTTGACCTTTGAGGTACGTGATTCCCAGTTCTTCTGCCATGGCCCAGACATGGAACCAGCCAACAAAAGACATAATTGACATGATGGTTGCCGTCACAGGGAAGCTTCCAGTTGAAACAGAATCGAACTCTGCATAGGAAACAATAGAGTCTTCACCAGAACTACTAGTTGTGGTTTCGTCTTCCGTGGTGGTTTCTTCTGACTGTGTGGTTCGAATCTTGTGGCACGAATCATCAACACCGTTGGGAAAAGTCCTTTTCGGCGTCGTACCCGCCGGATCCCTCCCTCCTCCGCTTACACATTCAATGGCAGTATCAAAGGTTGGCGACGAATGGTGTAAATCAGCCTTGGTCATCTCGAATCGTTCGTCATCCTTGGCTTCATCTAGCAGGGAAGTGTCTCGTCGTGCATCACGGCTCTTGCTTCGTGATCGAGTCGGCCTTGAAATCGCGTGGTCTCGTTTGGAACTTCCTCTTGACGCAGTAGATTGAGAATCACCAGTGGGACTGCCATTATGGTGGGTATGGTTGCTTTGGACTGGTGTTGCCGGTTCGCCAGATGACTCCATCCCCTGGGACGGGATCGAGACACCAAGGACGCTACATGTACTGCTGCTTGGAAGAGCACTGCCGAAACTAGGAAAGCCATTAACTTCGAAAAACTTTGTGTTGCCGCCGTTGTTCTCATCCATGGCTTCGAGAGAAGCTGAACTACTACCAGTGAAGGACCATGATTTGGCTCTCAGAGGTCGAAGACGTGGGCTCATAGAATTGGATGCTGTGGGAGTTCTCTTGCTAGACATGTCGAAGTCGTCGCCGCTAGTATTGCTAGTGCAGTTGGGATCAATTCTGTCAACCTCCCCCGCCAAGATTCTGAGAGCTTGGTTGCTAAAGTGTTTCCGGCGCTGTGCTGATGCCTCCAACTGTAGCTTTGTCCGACTAAGTTCAGCTCGAGAGTCCGACAGGAGACGTTTCAGTTCTTCGTTGGCCGACTGAACCTTTTCCAAATCTTGCTTTCTGCGTTTCGTTGTGCGAGGACAAAAGGACAATTAGCTTCATCAACAAAAAAGCATACTCAAAGCAAGGCAAAGCGGAAAAGTAGTTACGTACCGGCTACGCACTTGTTTCTTGCAGGAAGTGAATCCGTTTTCCGCCGCGACCAAAGCCACCTTGGTAATACTGAGCTCTCCCGTCTTTTCAGTCAACTGGAGAGTTCGTTCCGCAATGATCAACCGAAGGCGTTCTAGTTCTTTGTCCTTGTTTCGCATCAGATTTTGTTGGCTTTCCCATTCCTTCTGGAAGTTCTTGAGCTGCCGTTTTACAAGCTTGGCCTTTTGTCGAATCGTGTCGAGTTCGTTGCGATTGTCTTCTAGCTCCCGCTGTGCCATTTTCCATTGCTCCGGTGTAATTCGGAGCTGTGTCTGAGTCACCTTGAGCGATTGACCGGAAACCTCCTCAGTCATGGAATTGGTTGTGGCCGTATGAAATTGCCAGACCTCGTCATCCTTGCTACCCCTGCTCCCATTACTATTGGCCTTGCTGCTCTTGCTGTTGTCATTATCATCTAAGGACAAGCCCAAGTTGCTAAGAGCTGCACAAGCCGGGGTCACTGCCGCTGCCGCCGCCGCAATCGAGTGGTCTAGCTCCATTTCGAAATCCTCCTTTGAGCTATCTGCGGGGCTCATGCAAATCCTGGCTCCATGTCTTGGTGCGGCGGGTTCACGAATGTCAATACCAACACCACTGACTGTGGTTGCTCCAGAGGATTTGAACGTGTCGTCGTCGGACGTCTTGCGATTGGACGAGTAATCGATCGTGTTGGAGTCATCGTGAGCCGTGTCGGCCGTGCAAATAACATGAAATTTGTTGGCAGCGGCCTTACCACAAGCTGTCAAGTTTACTTGTGGTTGCTGCTTTTGCTGTTGTGGATGTTGATATTGCTGCTGTTGTCGTTGCTGCTGTTGCATGAGGCGTTCTTGTTGCACCAGTTCTTGTTCGAGGTCTTGTTCTTCTTGATCCCGTTGCATTTGCTGAGATTGTTCTCTTCCCCGGGCTTCTCTCAATGATTGATTGGTCAGGACAATGCTTAGTGCATCCAGAATCTCGAGTTCTTGACGATCGTCTTCACTGCTGACGACAAAGCTTCGAATGTTGTGTTGTGACTTACCAAACGAGTAGTCGTCAAACTCAATATCGAACTTGGTACTCACTGCCATGCTGCTCGTACTCTTCCCAAGGTGATGCGAGGGACTACTGGTTGCTGGTCCGTCTGCAAATGGATGCTTCGAGCAGCAGTTCATGGTCGTCTGACTGTTTTCGTGGTAATCGTGGGAGGCTACACGAAAACAATGACACAAAAATGCTTTGTTCTTCTATGTGACGCCTTCTAGTTCATTGGGGATCAGATAAGGGTTGCATCAGCTGAAGATTAAATTAAGAACAATGCTGTCAAGATAGTGGTATCAAAAAGGAAGCAATGGCGAAAGAAGCCGGATGCGGAGTAGCAACAAGTAGTCAATGCCTCGACGAAGGAAATCGCAGAACTTGAAGAGCGATGATTTTTTCCGATTTTGTGAGCGATGTCACCGCCGCGGCCCATGTGACAGCAAAAAACGCGAGGCTCTTCTCACGCTGGGCGACAATAGTTTGCGACATTATGCATTAGGGGTGAGGTTTTCGCCAACCCGACACCACAACACCAGTACTGCAGTACCAGTACCAGTACTACGATACCGGTATACGGTCATGCAGGACAGACAATACTTATCTTGGCTGGTAAGTAGTTGATGATGAAGGATCATAACTTATTTTAGGTACATTCACATAGCAGCAACGAGGAGAAGAGCTGATGGTTTACAGTATTTGCTGGATAGCTATTTCTCGCAAGGATCCTGACAAGGTTCTTCGCAATGGCGAACGTGACAAGAAACGCAAGTATCTCGACGCCTGTCTTTCCCAACGCCGCCACTTTACTCCGTTTGTTGTCTCTGCTGATGGTCTCCTTGGGGCCGAAGCTGAGGCACTCGCGAAACGTATTTCCGCTTTGCTCGCTGCAAAGTGGGAACGCCCTTACTCAGTGGTGCGTGGCTACGTTAATGCTCGGCTCAGCCTAGCTATTCTTCGGGCCCGCCACCTCTGCATGCGTGGCTCTCGTGTCCCTGCTGGCACAATGAGCTACCGTCGTTCTCTCTGGGATGCCGATGGTGCACTTGCACTCTTCCGCTAATTTTGCTCCCTTGTCCTTCCTGGTTTTCCTCCCTGCACCCCCCTTCCCTGCCCCCCTTGTTTTGCCCTGCTCGCGTCCTCATTGCTCTCCCCGTCTGCCCACCACACCAGCCACCCACCACCGCAGCCACTGCTTTGCCTCGCCTCGCCCCCCTCGCTCCTTAACGTATCTCTTTAGTATTTATTTTCTCTTTCATGTTACGGGTGGTACTGGTAGCAAGATAGCTACATGAACAGACCCGGTTGTTATTAGTAATCCTTAGGGGAATATAATCTAACATTTGCTCCTCCCCAACTCATCTGCAATCGTTGCACACGTTTCTCCCAACCAGAATCCTCAGTTTCCAGCAGTTCCAAATCCGACAGGGCAGCTACCATTTTCAGTTTGCCATGAGCAGTAGAATAGTCCATTATCGTTTGGCTCATTGCCTCCAACACTGGCGGCGGAAAGAAGATGCTAGAGGCGTAGATATGGGTAGCATCTGAGAAATCCAATTGAGACAAATCCCCATGGACCAGTTCTACAGTGTTGCGGTTGGCGGTGGCAAACTTTGCTCGGAGGGATGCTTTGGCCTCTTGCAAGTCTACTAGAACCGCTGGACTAGCTGGAATACCCTCAGGATCGGAATCAGCCTCAGAAGGATAGTCTTGATGATGACTGTTTTTCTTTTCAGCTTGAGATGGCAAAAGTGCTTGCTGCAGCGCATTCCAGGAGTGAACCGCCATAGCATGCCTTGCCGGGCTCAGTTCAATGCCCACAATTCTCTTCAGAATCGCGCGGTCTTTTGGTTTTGTTTTATCGTTATCATGACAAGTGGAGAGTGTTTCTAAAAAGACTTGTGCAACTAGCTTTCCTTCTCCCGATCCCAGGTCATAAAAGACTACTTCTTCTTTATCGGTACTGTTGCTGTCATCCTCAAAGATGGTCAACAACTCCAAATCTTCTAGCAATTGTCGAACACCAGTAGGGGTAATTTCTCCGTAGGTGAATTCTTTCCCTTCATCTTCCTCATGACTGTTCAAGAGAGAACGCGACACTGTGGCATCCCAACAAGTATCTAGCAGATGATCCACAAAGTCACGGTCATCTTGTGTTTCGTTCGCTTGCAGTGGCGGGGGCTGATGCAGGATCCGAAACTCGGACTGAAGCAGAACGTCCAGGAATGAGGGGATCACATATTGTTGCTTGTTATGAGATTCTCCGTTCTCGTCGTTATTGCAACTGGGAGCAGCAACCTCAACAGACATGGCTATCTCTTTTAAAAAAACCTACAAAAAGCCGAGGCCCTCCTTGCACTGCTATTCCCCCCACTCGTTGAGGATCCTCGACCTGGGTATCTTTTGCCGAACCGGACCGAATATTTCCGACAACGAATATAACCGATTATTAGTCCGAATTTTTAAACAAGCGGGGGGATGTCGATTAAGCGTAAGCCATCTCAAAGACCAGGCGTTCGGTGCGCTGCCGCGTTCGCCAAAGATCTTCTGATCAAATCGCTGCCGCCAACACGAGCTCAAGTTTTCAGGTGAAGGTCGCTGCATCCAAGCACCGTCGCCGATGATGCTCATTGGAAGCACTCAACACATCCTTTACTTCGTCATTGCTTTGGATTTGAGGCTTGGTGTCAGTCAATTCCTTTCTTCCTTTTGTCTGATTGACACCACGCAAATCAATCGCACAAATACACTTCCCTCTTAGTTGGCTATTTGTTGTGCTCGACCTCCGATTTCTGAAGCTCGCTACCGGTAGCCAGACGAGGAAGCAATGCCTTATTCTTGTCGCAACACGTATAAATCCGCATACAAGATGGGAGTTAATACCACCAAGGAGTTGTGCGGTATCTGCCTAGATAATGTCATGCACGACAAGTCGAGACGAAAGCGTGCTTCTTCTCCCGACCCCGGAGGGTGTGGTTGTCACAGCAAGCCAAGACAGTCACGGCAGAAGAGCGATGTACTCACTGCTGCAGAAGCGATGATGGATGCAATCTGTCTCGGTGGATCAGTCTCCGCAGCAGGAGCCAACAACGTGTATCGTGCTGGTCACCGAAGTCCGGGTACGTCCCCTCCAGAGAGCCCCTCCTACAAGAGCAGCACCGGTTACGGCAGCAGCTATCAGCAGCACCGTCCGACGCCGCGATACAGACAACATCAACCGTTTCCATACGAACAGCAGCACGGGGATTCGGTGGCGCATCGAACCGATGCCATCATGACCATTGCAACGACACCAGACCATCACACGGACGAAATCAACACTTCCTCATCCTCCCAGAAACACGCACACTTCAGCGACGACATCCGTGCCCAACAGCAGCGCCCCAGCAGATCACAACGATCCCAAGATCACTATGACTCGAATGACACCGAAGATGACACTGGAACCACCACCCCGGCTTGCAGCGCCACACTTGACACTACTAGAGCCATTGGATCCAAGAAAGAGCAACATGTGACCAACAAGGAACCCTTCACCATGATTCTCGTTTCTCCCTGCACAGCAAACCAGAATTATGATCCACGCGCAAACAGTAGTGATACTTCTCCAGTGGAAAAACATGCTCCACCCAACGAACAAGGTACCAGCGACTCACATTCCACGCGCCGGTCCCTTCTCGACGATAATTCTTCCTGTGTGTCCATGGTATCATCCTGCCGTAGTGACATGTTGGAGAGCGAAGCAGATGGTGGTGGCGGTGTCTTGGGGAGCAGCATCCTCCGCGAATACGAGCACGCGGTTGGAACCAAAAAGCCATTCAAACCCAAGACCGATGAAGCATCCAGCAAAAACAAGATCACTGCGAAACACATCAATCGCTTCCTTGAGAAGCTCTCCAAGGACAAGCTAGCCATGGGAATGCCAAATGATTTGGATGCTTCTACTGTAGCCAGTAGTGACATTCTCGGCGTTAACAACAGCCAACCCGACGCCCATCATCATCCAATCAGTATGGCGAGTCTAGAAGAAGTACCGTCGTCGCTGCCTCCACTCAAGTTCGATTCCAGACGGACGGTTGAAAATCAAGCAGATCCCATTGAAGAGAGCCGAGACGACAAGAACGGTGTTCACTCTCAGCAGCGACTTCCTGAAGGTTTTCTTCGAGATGATGAAGATGATGATGACGACGACGACATCACTGGCCCTTGCATGGCTCCAACCGAGTCACTAGAGACCCTGGGAACCCTGGATGAGAACATTGATCCAGCTCTCGAGTCCACGGCTCCAACAATATCAAACATGAAGAAACACCAACAAAAGCTCATGGACACCACTCATCACGTCCAAATAGCTCCTCCAAGTGACGTTGGCACTTCTGATCACAATGATAGTCTCGTAGTGCCCATCAATACTGCAAGAAGCACAATGACTTCGCTTACTGCCTCATCTTTCAACGTCGCTACTCCGACTGGGCCTCAAATAGGAAGTCATCCATCTTTTAACTCTGCACCTGGAAAAGAGCGAAGAGAGATATTTCTCATGAAAGACCAGCTGCAGTGGACCATGAGCAAATTGGAATCCACACAATACGAGTTGAACGTGATGAAGGGAATCAAAGATTTGTATCAACGAGAGCTGGAATGCAAAGCCATGGAATGCAAACTGGCAGAATGGCGCCTTAATCACAAACCATTGGCAATCGACGCCTCCGATCTTCCCCCCGATCATGCCACTCTCGAAAAACGAGAGGACGCTTCCGGCGCTGCGTCGGTAAGCTCCTTGTCTATAGGTGAGATATCGAAAGCACCATCCTCCTCCTCCACCAATGACGTCAATGACGTTGCAACAGTTGGTTATGGACACACACAATTCCTATTCCAAGCTGGGTGTGTTGGTCTCCTAGCTGTCGCCTTGTACGTTGCGGTTGGACAGAACGCTCCCATCATGATGGACCTGATGTGGACTTCATTTCTAGCCATATGCACACCCCTCCTTCAAGCGATATCGCGTGCAACACTGACCTCTTTCGATCTCTTCAAGTACTGTGTCATCGAACATGGGAAACTTGTTCGAGTTGCCAGTGACAGTTTTGGTTTGGCGAGTGCAATGATCTATGACGTCGCGTCAAGCCTATTTTATATTTTTGGTCAAATGACGGGCACCTCCGATGCGATGGCAGAGTTCGTGGACAATGTACATGAAGATCTGATATACTCAGCCTTGTTGTTCTCGAGGGTGGTGGCACCACCGCGGATTGGGCTGTCTCTCGCGAGACTAGGCGTTGATTGCATGGGGAAAAGGACCATCGAGTGTGTAGCTGTGGATGCTGCACTGATGATGTCAGACCTGCTTGTTTCTCTCCGCGAGTGGATCCTTGGTTAGTTCTGTTATGATGGTGTTGCACCCTTTCTCACACGGAGCCAAAATCCCGTCACCACGCTACTAGAGAAAGCCAATACATATCACCGCGAGCAATAGTATGAGGCTCGCTGTCCCACTATCCATGAGAAGTTGTTGATAAAGCAAGAGATAAGCATTATAGCATACTCTATTTTCATTTGGTGGGTGGTGGCCGCAATCCCGGAGCCCCGAATGTCTGTAGCTTCCATGTACGGCGGCATATCTCAAACAGTGAGTTTTGCCATCTGTCGTCCTGCGCAGTCTTGCAGAAGCTCGAACGCCGCACGTAAAAGGCGACAGTTGAGGTTTTCGTGGGACAACAGGAGAGCGACGGGACGAAGACAAGTCTTCCATTCATTATTCGAGTTAGCAAGGTTCCGCCCAAGAGAGCCGAAGACAATCTAGTTCAAGACCACCAAGACCAACGGCACCCTGAAAGTTCCCAACAAGAAAACACGTGCGGCTCCTGACCCACCTCATTGCGGGGAAGGAGCCGTGGCTGTAAAGAGGGCAAGGATACGTGACGACGACGACGACGATGACAGTGAGAAGATGCCGACTGAAACGAGCAGCATACCAGCCGTTGTGATGAGCAGCAACACCAGCATCCTATCAAATCTGACCGATGCCACTGTATTTGGACGATACGAAGATGCCGCAGAGTCTGCGGTTGTCCCGTCCGTTCAATACAGCGCTCGGAACATCGACCAACCAGTCGCCCTCGAGAGCTTGTTCGGTGTCAGAGTTGCGCCACTGGCACCAGAGAGAATCCCTCTATAGTGGAAGTCCTTGTCGATGATTCAAGCCGGGGAGTTTGCAGCTCCTTGTCCTCTAACGAGGACTAAGCTTCTTTGAGATTTCACTGAGAATTCACTGAGAGAAACAAGAGAGTCGTTGAGTCATCGGGAACATGCAAGGCAGATACCAACATGGAAGCAAGCAACCTCGTCTACATGTACATCAACAAGAACACACATGCGCACACACATGAACAAGAGCATGTGTGATGTGTGTTCTTGTTGATGCGTGTGCGATGTGTGTTCTTGTTGATGTACATGTAGACTAGGTTGTTTCCTGTTAACACCTGAGCGAGCTTCAATAATTGAATAGAATTCGAGCATCACACGAGGGCTTTCAATTGTTGAGGTGGTCTCCTCTCTTCGAGGGACCTTCAATCCAGCAGACACGACCCATATCATGTCTTGCACAACCGGTCTTCAAGCTTTTTGTACAGCCCACGAAGGAAAACACTCAGCCCACGTAAGAAAAATCTACGTGGACTGTACGGTGTTTTCCTACGTGGGCTGTACAGGAAGCTTGATGGACCGGTTGGGTCGCCATATTACGAGACTGCTGGTACCTTGCTCTTCCACACATACAGAGATATTATTCAGCAAGTTGCAACAGCAGCATCTACACATTTGTTTAGTGTAATTGTGAAATGTAAAGGATAGAAGTTATGGCCAAATCTCACTATACGTAGCAAGTACAGTATACGCAGCTTCGGCTGGCTTTGATGTCCAACAAACAAGGCCATGAGCTATTCCGCCGTACATACATACACGAAGGACACGGATGGTACTGTACAATGCATTGGGGATCAGTGGGCAGAGAGGGAGGGATAATGGCTCGGCTTGATCGTATCGTTTTCAGTCATCATTGTTGTGGACTTGGTAAATGTGCGCTTGCAAATCCAGTTTTTCTTGAGAGACATCGCCACAGCACAAGAGCTGTTCACAGTCGGCAAAGACATTGAAGGAAAGGGGTGTTTGATGCGAGCACAGCTTTTGTGGAATACTTCCTTCCAAGTCTGGATTTCCATCGACGCCAAAGGCATTGACTACTGGAAACTCCCAGGAATCGGGAATGGTCCCTTGAAAGTGATTATGATCGAGGCGCAAGTTGACGAGTTGTTGGAGATCTCCCCATTCGACCGGCAGCGTTCCTGTTAGATTGTTGTTTCGCAGCGAAATGTCTAGCAAGTTGGTCATGTTGTGCCATGCTACAGGCAGTGTGCCGGAGAGTAGATTCTGATCGATATTGATGGTTTCCAACGTAGTCATAGCATTCCACTGTCCCGGAATGGTACCGGTGAATTGGTTGTTGTTGAGTTCCAATGTATCAAGCGATGCCATGGTTTGTAGATTCGTGGGAAGTTTCCCGGCCAGCCGCGCATTGTTCAAGTACAATTCTTCCAATTGCGTCATTTGACCGAGTTGTGCCGGAATGGAAGAACCTTGAAAATTCGAGTGCGAATAGTCCATGACTTGTAACTTTGGCAATAGCGCTGCCGATGCGGGTACAAAATCGGAGAGTGTCAAGTTCCAGGACATGCGGGTAATGCGAATCTCTCGCAACCCCGTGAGCATGTCAATTTCGAGTGGCAACCGTCCTACGAGCTGTGGAATATTATCGAGACTGAGTCGTTGGTAGAGTCCTTGTTTTCCATTACAGGGCGTGGATGCCGCGGTCATCCATTCGCATTCGTGTACGCCATGGTGCAACCACGTCTCTTGCATTTCTGGGGGCCAAAAGTTTCCTCGTAGTGAAAAGTAGAGTGCCGCAAGGGCAAATCGTTGTCGATGTCTCCAGAGCGGATACTGTGAAAAGTTGGTATCCTGAATGAGCCAATTGTAGGCAGAAGATTGTGGCGATGTCGGATCCTGTTCAATTTTGAGTTGCGTCAATTCTGGCAAGTAGTGCAATAACATGACGGCACCTCCTTCTTGTGGCAGCAACAAGTCTTGGTCTCCGCCCATGCCAAATGGAGGGTTGCTGTGCGTAGCATCATCATTGTCGGCTCCAATGGCATAAATGAAATCAGGTTTCGTGGCGACAATGACGATAGCTGAAATGGTGACAATGAGTGTGAGCGCCAGCAACGTCCAAGCAATGTATATTGGATAGTCCCATTTTTGGTCTTTGTCTTGTGTGTCTTGCGTATTTGGTGGTTGTTGTGCTTCTACATCATCCTGATTGCTATTGTTGTTGTTATTTTCGTTGTTGTTTTCGTCGTTTGTGGGAGTATTGTTGGAATGAGTGTCGCCTTGTTCGGTTTCTTCTTCGTTGATTTGTGCTTGTGCTTGTCCTGCTTGATGTTGTTGATGTGATGATGATGATGGAGCATGATAAGATCTCCTGGAGGACGATCGTCTTCGTGACGATGCAATGGTGGACATGGATCCATCGAGACTGGACTGTCGTGATCTAGAGGATCTGGAAAGGTAATCAGCAGAGCGTGACATGTAGTAGTTTTCATCGTGTTCTTGCACCATTCCATCAACGGTACTGATGTCGTCATTGAGATCATACTCTTCATCAGTACCTGTGCCACTGTTGTGATGAAGAGAAGGAGCGGTGGGAGCACATGCATACGCTCCTGGTAGAGACGGTGGTGTTTGAGAGACAATGGGAAAGGAAGCGGTATCAGTAGCAGTAGTAGCGATAGTAGTGGCGCCCGTGGAGGGCGTGGTAGACATGGTGTGTGCTGTACCAAGATTCATGGCGGCCATCATGGGATGAGAACCCGTTGGAGTGGCTTTGGCAAAGGACGAGCGAAGTCTCTGTTCGGTGGGTTGTTGTAGATGATGTGACGTCAGCTTTTGTTCTACTGCGTGTATTTCTCCCATGTACTCTTGTCGATGTACATAGTCCAGGACAGGACCCGCTTGACGTATGGCGTCGACTGTCATATTCATGTTGGCTCGATACTCTTGACTTCGATTGGCAATCATCTTCATGAGCACCGGATCTTCTTCACCATCGTTGTCTCTGTGCAAGTCAGCCATGGGACTTGCACCATCTATTCCATGATACGACGACAGGACGCTGGTACTGTCGCGAGATGCCGACGACAAGGCCGACACTTGACTCAGGTGACTGTTGTTGTACGATCGAGACGGAAGTCGTCGTTGTGATTGTGCTGACGATGCGGGAATTCCCAAATGGTCCATGCGAGAAGCCACCACTTTCATCATGATCATGTTGTTTGCTTCGTCTGATGCTTCTTGTTGTTGTCCTCGAGGACGATGATGCTGTTGCTGTTGCTGATGCTGTGATGATGGAACGGAAGGACGGCGAGGACGTTGATGGCTGTTGTGCAGAGACGTTCGTCTCGGTCGTTCGTCCAAATCTGTTTGTACCTGCAGCGGTCTCTCCTGATCTTCTTCTTCTTGTCGCCGCAGCGGCGGCTGCTGCTGCTGCTGTCGATGGGGATGGCTGCTCATGGTGGCACTGACTATATGAATAAACACTAGCTAGCTAGTTGAAAACTAGTAGCAAACTGGTCTTGGCAAGGATCACTTTGATGAGAGATATTATGAGAGAGGACGTCTGCCTTCAAAGGGAAGGAACAAAGAGAAAATTTAGAACTGTGTGGCAAGTTTCTATAATTGTGTACCGCTCATCAAGAATTAACATCCATGACTTCGGAGCATCGCGGTCATGCTTTCTAATCCATTCGGAGTCCGCTCTTTCGAATTATTCATACAGTGCAAGCACGCAGGACTAGCTAGCGGTATTACCTAGAGTACTGTAAGAGTCATAAACAGTTCAACAACATATATATATTAAATATATATTACCAAGTTAATTAACATACTAGTACTACTGAGCAATCAGAGTGAGAACTCCAAGAACCAGTGACCACCACATAATGGCGAATGGCGGTACTGCTGCCGGCACTGAGACTTATATTTTATAATACCAGAGAACAAAGTCGATTTTGCGTACGATGTATCGACAGACTGACTGTTGACTCGGAAGTAAATCAGTAAAACAAATCTGGACTTGGCACTTGGCACAAGTAGTCTTCACAGAGAAGTACTAGTACTAGCTAGTACAGTCAACGCTCGCTTATATTTATAATCTTGTATTTATTCGCTCTATAATATTTAAGAATACTCCAGTTCCCACATTTTTAACTCTAACCCTATTTTAGTACTAGAGCACGTACAATTCTACGGGAATAGTTAGGGTTAGGGATAAAATCAATATTTATTCTCGCTGTTATATTTACTGAATTCCTGAATCCCCCCCAGTATATATATCTGAATGTTGACTGTACTAGTTAAAAATGATTTAACGTCCGTAGGAAAGAACCAATGCCTTTCCGAATAGACTTCACGAACGCTTAAAAGCAAAAGCCAGCTGAGCTATAAAACAAAACTCTAGGTACCCAAAGACGGAAGGAATCAATGATTTCTCAAGGATCCAGGTGATCTTTTAGAGAAAGTACTGAAGCTGGCTTGGAAGCTGTGAGGGGCGACTATGAATCCGCTTCCCAAATTCATAGCGGCAGCCGTGCTGCCAACTCCATCTGGTCTGATACAATGGGCTAATGCTGAAGCTACTCTACAGCAGAATTGACAGACAACTGATACAGTGTACTTGGACTATTAATAGCTTACCTTTATTTCATTCAGACTCAACAACAGAAGAAACGGTCAAGAAACGGTCTCCAACGAGTCATTACACCGGCAGATCTGCCAACGCACCTTAAAAATCCAAAACGAACCCAATCCAGGTTCCAACACAACCAACCCCTCCCCAATAGTATCACATCACATTGTTAACAACCATAACACCATCGGACCTTTCCCCGTGACAAGAAAAATTATTTTAGCTTGCCCGGTACTTCAGCCTACACGAATCAACAAAAAGACTCACACTTGCCTCAAAAAAATGGGTCTCTCCAACCTTGCCAATAAGAATCTCCAGCGAGTTCCTCCCAAGCCTCCCTCGCCCACCGAACCTCGCATCACCCTTCAATCCAGCATCGACAAAATGCCTGAAGTCTCCGCAGAAGTGAAAGGGCAAATTATGACAACATGGATTGAACTCCTCGACAAGGATCCCAGCACAGCGGCAGCAACCTGGTGTGACCTCAATGAAGAGCTTATCGCCAATGGAGACGAAGACAAGCTCGGCCCAACACTCATGCTGGTCAACACAGGACAACACAGGACAACACAACTTCGAAATTCTCAGCTGCCTCACCCGGGCCCCGACCCATGCCGAAATCCGCGGCGCCTCGGCCACGGCATCCATACTTGGAGCAGGAAAGTTCATTGCCGTTCTAGGCACTCGCGGCCCCAAACCTGACGACGAAGACAGGTGGCTCATAGCTCCCGTGGACCCTGAAGACACTTTCAAGCTGCGCTCCCACAAACTTTCCACCCACCTGGGACGACATCCCAGAACCCGATGCAACTGACACCCGCGACTCCAACAAAGGTTCTAACAAAGGTTTGGAGGCACCGACGAAACCACCACTGAGTACTACCCTATCCTTCCACTCATTGGAAAAGATATCTGCACATTAGTCCATGACGGCCTCTGCTATGACAAACCCAATGAAGAAACAAACAAATGGAACCCCTTTGTCACCGCCCAGAAACTCAAACCGTACCTTAACGACATCCACAGCATTCTCCTTGGTCTGACAACCGCATCCTCAACCCAAAAGGTACGCGGCGCTATCAAGTTTGACCTCAAACAACGCGCCACAGTGGACCCACCCCTCCACGAACTCATGGTGCCGCGTATCAACAATATCCTTCACCCGGCCGTCTACCAGCCACCTCCGGACAATCCACTTGGGAACACTGGCACTCCAACGGAGCACAATGCCACGGTCCCAGCTAGTGGCACTCCAACGGAGCACAATGCCACCACCCCACAAAATCCCGCGAGCACCCCAACGGGGCACAATGCCCCGGTCCCACCTGGCACTCCAACGGAGCACAATGCCACGCTATGAATCCGCTTCGCAGATTCATAGCGACAGCCGTGCTGCCAACTCCATCTGATCTGATACAATGGGCTACTGCTGAAGCTACTCTACTCTGGGACACTAAGAATGGGCGTTAACTTGGGCTTACTGTTTAAAGTTTACCCTTTAACTTGGGCTTACTGTTTAAAGTTTACCCTTGTTGTATAGGGCGGGTTTGGGGATGAAAGCAAGGTAAGCTAGTCCAAGTACACTGTATCAGTTGTCTGTCAATTCTGTTGTATTGACTCTGTCGTTCCTTTTGTCGGCAACTCTTCTGTGGGCTGCGATAAAAGGGAGGAGAAAAAGGAGACAATGGCCTTTTGCTGTGACCCGGCAAAGCTTGAGTCACTAGTCAAACAAGACTGCCAGTTCTCCTTTTTAGCATGGCTGTACAGTCCTACCTGGCACTCCAACGGAGCACAATGCCACGGTCCCACCTGGTGGCACTCCAACGGAGCACAATGCCACCACCCCACAAAATCCCGCGAGCACCCCAACGGGGCACAATGCCCCGGTCCCACCTGGCACTCCAACGGAGCACAATGCCACGGTCCCACCTGGCACTCCAACGGAGCACAATGCCACGGTCCCACCTGGTGGCACTCCAACGGAGCACAATGCCACCGGCGCCCCCACGGGGCAGCACGAACTAGATGAGGACAGAGAACAACACCACGTCCAGTTCGCTGACGAGCTCTGGAATGCCACCTTCCGTCTCCGTCCCACCACTGCAGCTCGCACCACTGTCGAACCCCCAGCCAAACAGCTTCGACTTTCCGACGACCGTGGATTTGATGCTCTTGACACCTACCAAAAGTGTCAGATCTTAACATACGGCCAATGCACGACTGCAAGCCAGATGCGAGACTTATCAGGCAAAGAAGAGGTGGAATGGATCAACACGGGGGCCAAAGGGCTCGACTTTTTTGGATTCTTGCTTTGTCTGTCTCCTTCTATTCAACGCTTTACTAACTGCCGTTTTGTTGCCCTTTTGCTGGTAGCTACCGGTATGTCGCCTACATGTAGCTATTCTTTTATCGAATGATATATATATAGGTTCTTTAGTGCACGTGTGAAAGTTTTTGGATGCAACACATCTATCGATATATGCATTTGGTTTGCCACGATTTGGAACACCGCCACTGGCCCAACTAACCCCAGTTGCCGATCTGCTGGCCACCTTGCCGGCCTTCCTAGCTCACACAGACCAATCATCTGGTTCATCCTGATAGCTGCTTTCGTCGTCTTCTTCCTCAGATTCTTCAAGTATTTGCTTAGGCATCAAACGCATGGCCTGGCACCTTTTTGCCATTTCGGCTACAACGGCCTCACCCTTGAGCACCCATTCCTTCCTATTCTCGAGGGCATGGTGGAGGCATTCATCGGATGCCACACCAAAGACACCGCATTCATCTAGCTTTTGTGTCAGTGGAATCACATAGTTGTCAAAAAACCAGATCTCACCCTTGTACCAAGAGTCTGTGGGATCCTTCGCCGCCCTTCCCATCTTCCATGCCACATACATTTCATTGAACAGCTTTTCATTCCACTTGAGATACACTTGCCTGTAGGTTGCGTAGGAGGAAGCAGGGAAGCAAGCAATAGCAAAAACAAGGTTAAGTAAGGACCAACCTACTAAACATAATTCAATGAGATCCCGTGTCAAGCTAATTTGTGCTTACCAGTGCTGCATCTGTAGTGACACAAATCAAGAACAAAGCAAAACAAACCGTGAGACAAGTCTGTCACCATGACAACTGGAGAAAACAATGTCATGTTTGCAATCTTTCTTCGACTTACTGTGTGAGCGACATCAGAAGCTTGAATTACTGTGAAGGAAAGCGGCGAGTCGATTCATAAGACGTTAGCGCAGCACAACAAAGCAAAGGCAATCGATTGCTCAAAGTCACCCAGAAACACTCTGGCAAGTCCATCACTTACTGTGCTCGATGACGATTGTGGCCTTCCTATTGGTGTCTTGCAACTTGAGCACCGACCTTGTACTCTCGTTGCCATTGCCATGCGACGACGAAGCGTCACTCGAGCGTTCAGTGAGAGAGCAACTGATGACAGATTCATCGGGTTCGATCTCATCACCATGGAAGGCTCTGTCCCACCTCTTATTCCTGAGTGCTTTGAGTTCTTTATCGAAGATATCAGTTGCCAGGACCACATTAACAACCAGCTGTCGGAAACGCTGGAGCTCGGCATCGTTAGCAAAGAGACACTCGTGCAGATCTTTGTAGCAAGGCTGTTGCAACAGCTCCCATGACGACTCCACGGAGTGCTGCTCTGCCAGAGATTGATTCCTGTACTTGTCCGCCAATAAGGGTTGTTCCTTCCCAAGCTGTCCATTGGAGACACCCGTGTGATCTGTCATGCGCAAGCCGCGACGTTACGTGTTAGCGCCAGGCAGTCGACTCTCATTATCGTTGACAGTCAACTCAACTCACCGACATCGTGAATCAAGGCAGAGAAAACGATTGCGAAATGCGTCAAGGGATCACTGTGGCAGGTGCGCAGATGTGTGCACAGGAAAGGCCGGAGGATGAGTGTTTGTCAAAACGAAAGGGGACAAGTTGACGATGGGAACAAAACAATTCCCACGTACCTTGTGATTCCAAAAGTGTGTTTGTGAAGATCGGCGGCAACACTCTTTGCCTTTCCATCGTAGTTGACTTCATCTGGCGATACGATGCGATCGAGCATCTTGTGAACTGACATCGTCACATGAGAAGCATGCTCAAACTGGGGACGTAGGGCAAGATATGACGTGAGGTTTGACGGAGTGATGATTGCTCGACCGATCAAGCACAACGTACATTGTGGAAGGGGTTGTCTCTTTAGAAAACAGATGCGAAATCAAAGAACTCTCATGTGAGAATGGATGAGCCTGGAGGCAAAGTCCGCACAAAGTGTCTCTGCCTGGCCCTTACCGGTAATTCGCCGCGAGTTCTCTGACGAGACCGCGCAGTTGCGAAATGACTTCGGGCTTGATTTTGACCGCGTTGGTTTCGCCAACCGTAACTGCAGAGGAGGAATCGAATGTCGGAAGCGTAACAATCTCAGCTACATGCTGAAGCGGTATCCCTCCAGCTTTGACCACCGCGGCCAAATCAGGTGAACGAACGTTTGTCTTCTGGAATCTCTTCTTGCTCTTGTTTCTGCGTGCTACAATCTTCTTGAGTAGCTTCGTCATCATGTTGACCTGCCACTCAACGAGGCGATCTTGCTTATTATCACTTGCGGTGAGATGGGCAGAAACCCCCTCGAGTTCTGGGAACTGAACGCTACTGTTGTCCAGCTCCCACATGTCAGATCCCGAACGACCCGAGCGTTGAGAGCTGGTTTCGTCGGCCAATCCGCTTTCGTCGAAGCGGACCTGCCCTTGCTCCTGAAGAAGTGAACGAGCGGCATGACTACCAGCCTTACCACCACTGCCAGATTTTGTACGAACCCAGTAAGTCTGCATGCCATTCCATTGCATGCTGTCCCGTCGACGTTCAATCCACCGCTTCTTGAAACCACCAGCCAGCAACTGCTGTACAGTCGAGTGACTGAGATGGATACGGTCAGCTTCTCCTGCCTTGTTCACGGCCGCACAGATGTTAAGTGTATCGCCACAGAGCTTGACCCCGTTGCTCTCCCTCCCGACCAAAACTCCTGCCGTAACAGGACCGGAGTGGATTCCAATCTTCACACGCAGGTCTCCGGTATCCGGGCCCAGGCTCATCTCCAACGTTTTCATCAAAGCCCTTGATTTCCCGAGGCACTCTTTTGCAAAATGCAGCATTTTTAGGGCATGGTCTTCTTGGGGTTCAGGAACGCCGGTTGCACAGACGTAATTCTCTCCAATGCCTTCGACACGGAATACGCCGTACTTTTTCGCAGTCTCATCGAAGGAGAAGAAGATTGTTTGAAGAAGGACAAAGACTTGCGATGCTTCTCGTTCGGAAGCCCATACGGTGAAGCCATCAATAGCAGCATAGAGAACGGTGCAATTGGCATAGATGCTAATGTTTTGGAGAAAAAGCAAAAGATTCAGGTGAGAGTTGGAGGGAAATCCAGGTATATCTAACCCAGAAATGGATCACTTCCCAATTTCCTGACCAACCGACAAGTCTCCAGTTCCAGAACTATTTGACTTGTACTGTACTTACTCGGCGATTGGATTGGAATTCATGACTTGCTGAATATCCATCTTCTCCGACGACTTTGACGTTTCTTCCAAGAACGCTCGTAGGCGCAACTTTTGAGGTTGCGCCACATCTTCCTCGTATCTTTTTTTCATGAGGGTCAAGTTTTCTTTTTGAATCAGGATTGTGAAGCAGAGCAAGCCAATAAAGAATGATACCAGGACAGTGGCCACAACGGAAACCACCTTCCAAGTTTCCCATTTATTGTATTGATAGCTGACATTCATTTCCCACTCGTTGTTAGTGGTATCGAGGGCAGTCGTTACTGTTTCCCAATCACCAGACGTGGCGTTGGCAAAGCTAGGTGTCTCGGCCAAGACGACGACCTGATGAAAGCAAGCAGGAAGGCAGGCAAAAAGAGAGTAAGGAACAACTCCTAGATTCGATTCATCGATGTCATGAGATAGCGGCAAGTACAGTAGGTTGCTGTAAGTGCTGCTCACCTTTTCCGTGGTGACATTGTTCTCTGCATCAAACTTTCGATCGGTGCGAGTGAGTTGAAACTCCAATCCTCGTTCCTCAAATGTCTGATAGACGCTGCTCCTTTCGATGAGAGCGTTCCAATTGATCAAGGCAACTGCGAATCCCCACTTTTCGTATGGCACATCATTGACAACAATCTCTTTGCCCTCCATGGCAATGGGTATGCGTGCAATAAAGGCTCGTTCCACAGTCGGGTCACAGTCTTGGCATTGTCTGAGTGTCAGCGGCCCGGCAATGACAATCTTTTCCGAAGGAATAGTGGCCTCTGCAATGAACTTGCGTGCCGGATCTGTCAAGAGATCATGACCCCACGCACCCGTGTTGTTCATGACAATGCCTTTTATTAGATGCCGATAGAAAGAGGCAGTTGTGAGATGTGAGAGGCATGCTGCCATTATGATGCAGTCGTGTCAACTAAGTAACCAACTCACCAGGAGGGAAGTCTTCCGTGTTCACCATTGGATGCAGGAGACAGACTACAGCTTGAGGAGCCAGCTGTAGGTTGACGAGGACTCCATTCATGTTTGCGTTTCGCTTGACGGTAGCAGCAATCCGGTTGAACCGTTCTACTACGTGAGGTGCATCACAGACACCAGAAACGTTGCGATGTGTGACGGGACTTTCCTCGGTACGAGGAGGCTTGAAGGGAAGAGATCCGTTCTCAAAGGCGGGGCCGATCTGATCGGGTAGGTCGTGAAAGATCTCCAGTTCCGAGACAAACTGTGGCACAACAAAGCAAAGAGAGGACGTGCAGTGAGGTCATCATTCCAGTTCAAGCAGAGCCAGTGCATCCACATCCACACCCACACCCACACAAGCTTGTAGCACCTACCTGTGCCATACTGAACAAGGGTAGAATGGCCTGATCCAGTTGGTCAGCTGCGGACACATAGACAAGGTGAGACGATGTGAGACAAGGTGAGATGACATGAGATGACATGAGATGACATGAGATGAGCTGATTGGTGACTTGATGACTTACAAAACCATTGTCCCGTTTCAGTGGAGAGATCCATTGCGATACTCTTTGCTTCTTCGTGTCTGTCGTCTTCCACCATGAAGATCATGGCCAATCCAGCCCCGCAAAGCACAGCAAAGACGAGGAGGGAAATAAAGGCAATGTGTGGCTGGCGCTTGGCCAACTGAAACTGATACTTGATCCCACTGCCAACTCGGTTCAAGTGTTGCTTCATCTTTGCCTCTTCCTTGTTTCTTTCTTTGGCCTGCTCCAAGTCAGCCAGTTCGTCGGTCAACATTGTCTTCTTGGTCATCCTGATAGACATACCGCTACCATCGTAGGGAGGAGGTTTCATCATGTTTTTTGCAACTTTCGAAATGGGAATCTAGACTATGTCTCTGTTTTGTTTTGTGTCTGTGGATCCTGACCTTGGTTGGAGAGAGCAGACTGATATTGTCACTTCGATTCGTGTTGTTTGGTCTTTTATCTTTTATGACTTCCTCGGAAGCGGTGGTCGGAGCTTCACCTTGTTTGTGTTTTTGTGTTTTGTGGCTGCTTTTTCGAGCGCACTAGCTAGAATGCTAGAATCTTTGGAACTCTCACTTTTGTTCCCTTGTTTGGACGGGAGGGGGCACCGGGCACATTAACACATTAACGAGGATTCGAATCCGATTCCAAAGAAAAAGGCTACTGTATGTACGACTGTACTGGTACTAGTATCCAACTACTATTTTAAAATAGTACAACAAATAAGCTCAAATTGCCTTTATCCCACGGAACATCTTGGTGGCTCCCTAAATCCTACGTTCAGATCCTTAATTCGACAAATGACCCTGTAGAAAAAACTGCATACTCCACAAGTGTTGGTCATAAATATTGGGGTATGGGGCAAATTTGGTATTTGAATTAATGAATGGGTAACCTTACATTCTCGATCACAGGTACACGTAGTGCGTAATTGTGCGTAATGACCTGGCCAAGAGATATCCAAAGAAGGACGCGGATTTTCTGCACGAACCGTAAAAGTAACTGCATGTACGGCTGCTTCTTGTTACTAAGTCCACCTCATGGGCGGGGATTTGTGTGGTTGTGCTACTAAGTAGGTTGTTGCAGGTAATCCTAACTAAGTTCCACCATACCCCCAGTACAGTCATTAATATTTCCTTTACTCTGGTGCTGTAAGTACGTACCAGATACCGGTACTCGACTTTCTGACCATTCCACCGAAATCTCCAGCAAACCAGTGTCGACTCGGATGTTGACAACCAGCTGTTTTGCAGAAGTTGAAGAGCGGCAAGGAATTCGCTGCTCAGACCGGAGCACTGCACACACGATCAATTAATTGCTGCTTGCCAATGACGAGGTCTCCCGTCTTGATCATAGCATAGGTTGGCTCGTAAAATCATAATACGGTATGGAATCGAATGATCAATCTAGAGCAGCTACATGTACCGGTAGCTAAAGTAGCACGTCACCAGCAAAGCAAAACACTGACGGCTGGTTGTCGCCCTTTTTGAAGTGCAGTAGAACCCAATTGCTTCCGCAGCAAGCAGCAAGCGCAATACGTACATCGTACATCGTACCGGTACTACTATTGTTGCCAGGATGCCGCCAGGTTGTCGTCATGACATACAACACGGACCATCGATGGTTTGGTTTTTGTTTCTTCCGATGAACTGCCGGCACTGGTGCCGCAAGTCAGAAACAACTTCAGCATGATGCTCCAAATAATATCTTCCCTGTTGTAGCATCAGATTGAAGATTGTACCATTCGTCTGCGCTGCGCTGGTGGTCTGTGCCCTCCAGCTGCCCTTCTCTGTTGTACCTGGGCATATCTGTAGACTACAGCCAAAGTCTGGGAAGGCTTTGAGAATCCCCGAATTCTCTCTTCCGGTCGGATCCTCAGAAGTCTTGTTACTGATGCCGTCTTGTTTTCTGTTTTTCTACTGAGTTTACGTCTGTCTATCTTCTGGCAAGTGGCAAGACCATTTATTTCTTTGAGTCATTGTGCACTCGTGCGAGTACGACCAGTTGGAGTGTACTGGTACAGGTCCTGTAACCGTACGGACGATTTCTACTTGTGTTCTTGGTGGCATGAGCGGTTAGTTAGCACTTTCTTTTCGGAGAACAGCTACAAGTCTGCATTTATTTGCTGCAACATAAACCCGATCATAATTCAATACTCTTAAGTAGGCAGGCAATACGTGCGATTGACCACTGACCCCCTTGCTCCCAACTCCCAACCACCGAAGGAACTATTGATAGTTGGTTGATCTGTTGACTGCCAACTGTCAACCTCACTCAATCGTCAATCGTCAGCCATGTGGCCGATCCAAGTGAACGATGAATGGAGAGAATGAAGAATAGAACTCCCAATTGCCGAAGGGGATCACGGTAGCAGCCTCAGCTCAGCCTCACAACCCAGGTGGCTGCATTCCGATGATCACAACAGCTACCGTGAACAGTACACTACTTTTGCGCATGTTGCACCTGTGACCTAATGGCTTAAGTGGTCTTGTGGGTTCTTCCAACAGGAACTGCTGTTGGTTGGGAGTCAGCTCCGCCGTTGCTCCATGGAGAACACTTGTTGAAGCTGCGGTGGGCTGCTGGCTACCGAGTGATGAATCTTGAAACAAAGCTTCAGAGTCCCCTTCATGCCAAATCAGAACTGAAGGGCACGTACTTGCCAGTCTTGTGATCGCTCGACGAACGGGCAAATAATGGTGTGGATACCCGTACTCTAGCTACCGTTAGGCCAGTGCAAACCTTTGTCTCGTTCAAGGAGTCTCTGGGCCACTCATTCTCTCAAAAGCCCTGCTGCTCGGCAAGAGCCAGCTCGAGACTGATTGTGCTGCCTGCCTCAGACCAACAAATTCTAATACATGCTTTGAGTTGCTCCTATCATAAGTCCTGACGTGTAGTACCCAGTAGTCGTCAGACATGCACACACCATGACCAAACACATAGCTGCTGCAGTTGAGGACTCTGCAGACTTGGTACATCGCCAATCAAAAGGCTGCTGCACCCATGCAACTTGCTTCAAACAGAGAGCTGGAGGATGACAAATCAGATAGACATGATTGAGACTCACGACAGCTACTGGGGTGTTCTTACAGGCATCTCAATGGCATGTTGGAAAATTCTATTGGCAGGAAACTAAATAGAGTATGGGTTGTGGTACCACAAGCAACAAACATAATCAGAAGTACTATATTATAATAACAACACTTTCTATACAATCAATTCATACGGGATCTTTCTCGTGGCTTCGCTCAAACGATATCATATTGTGGCCAAGCTTTGCCTGGTGTGAGCTAAATGCCATACATTTGCTCTTGAACTTGCTTACAGCAGTGTTCTCTGTGGGCCTTCCAATGCTTCTTCTGGCAGTGACGGCTGCAGTACTTCACAAGTCGACATTTTCCACAGTACTTGAATTTGGTACCATCAGTTTCCACAGCATTACAGTTGATGCAGTGCCGAGGCTTGCTCCTGCTAACAGCAACGACAGGAGTATGCTTCCTATCCTCATCATCTGTAGACCTTGACTGCATGGGCGAAGAAGCAGCATGGGGAGCAACAACCACTTCAGTAGGAACGTCATCGTGCAGGCCGGATGTTGGAAGAGGCGTTGACTTGGCTGGGGAGAACTGCTTCCCAGATGCACCGAGTTGCACCTCTGGAGACGCCGGCGACTTCTTGGAAGGTGGAGATACACTTGATGGAATTGCCTTAATTTGTTCTCTGGGAGAAATCTGCTCAACCAATGAATCGGACGGTTCCTTTGCTACAGTTGGTGGAGATTGCTCAGGTCGAATTGACTGGACCTTGACTTCTGGCGAAAGATGTTTCTTGGAAGAATCAAGTGGCACCAATAAAGTGTTGGGGGCTTGCTGAGGAGATGAAGGTGAAGGCTTTTGGGTGGGTGCTTCTTCAACATCATTTGATGGTAGGTGATGCTCTGAAATAGGCAGAGATGCTTGGGGAGATGTGTTTGGTGAAGTCCTTGGTGGCGATTTTGTTGAAGCTCTGACTTGGTCATCACTACTGTCCAAGTCATCAGATGAAACATCCACTGATGATGGAGAGTTGTTTGGCAAAGTCACAGGAGAATATTTTGGACCCGCCTTTGGTGATAGCGTCACAGACACTTCAACTCGTTCATTTTTTTTGTCCAAGTTAACAGGAGACACCTTGGGGCTGTGCTTTGCCCTTGGGGAATGCTTGGGAGATGCTCTTGGGGACTGTTTTGGAGATGCTCTTGGTGACAGGGTTACAGAAACCTTGATTGTTTCATTGCCGCCATCCAAAACATCAAACACGGTTGGCGAAGCCCTTGACGATTGTTCTGGTGAAGCTAGGGGGGACTGCTTTGGAGAAGCCCTTGGCGACCGCTTTGGTGAAACCTTAGGTGATGCCCTTGGCGACAAGGCAACAGATACTTTCACTGGTTCACCCCCACTTTCCAAGTCATCAGATGATGAAAACTCAACCGGTGAAGCTCGAGGGGACTGCTTTGGTGAAGCCCATGGGGAATGCCGTGATCCCTTTGGCGATGCCCTTGGTGACAGTGTAACAGAAACTTTCACCGGTTCACTGCCACTTTCCAAGTCATCAGATGATGAGAACTCAACCGGTGAAGCTCTTGGCGACTGCTTTGGTGAAGCCTTAGGTGATGCCCTTGGCGACAAAGTACAGATACTTTCACCGGTTCACTGCCACTATCCAAGTCATCCGATGAAGAGAACTCTACCGGTGAAGCTCTTGGGGACTGCTTTGGTGAAGCCCATGGAGAATGCCGTGGTGATCCCTTTGGCGATGCCGGTGGTGACAGAGAAACAGAAACTTTCACCGGTTCACTCTTTGGAGAAGCCCTTGGCGACTGCTTTGGTGAAGCCTTAGGTGATGCCCTTGGTGACAAGTAACAGATACTTTCACCGGTTCACTGGTGCTTTCCAAGTCATCAGATGATGAGAACTCAACCGGAGAAGCTCTTGGCGACTGCTTTGGTGAAGCCATAGGTGATGCCCTTGGCGACAAAGTAACAGATACTTTCACCGGTTCACTGCCACTATCCAAGTCATCCGATGATGAGAACTCTACCGGTGAAGCTCTTGGGGACTGCTTTGGTGAAGCCCATGGGGAATGCCGTGATCCCTTTGGCGATGCCCTTGGTGACAGTGTAACAGAAACTTTCACCGGTTCACTGCCACTATCCAAGTCATCAGATGATGAGAACTCTACAGGCGAAGCTCTTGGGGACTGCTTTGGAGAAGCTCGAGGGGACTGCTTTGGCGATGCCCTTGGCGACAGTGTAACAGAAACCTTCATTGTCTCATTGCCACTTTCCAAGTCATCAGATGATGAGAACTCAACTGGTGGAGCTCTTGGGGACTGCTTTGGTGAAGCCATAGGTGATGCCCTTGGCGACAAGGTAACAGCCACTTTCACAATATCACTTCCACTATCCAAATCATCGGATGATGACAAATCCACAGGTGAACCCCTTGGTGATTCTGCGGGAGAAACATTGGGTGAGCCTGCTGGTGACCTCTTGGTGCCTTTGATAGGTTGCTTCTGTGTCGATTTAGGGGACATTGTTACAGTTACTTCGAATGACTGTTCCTCCTCTTCAGCATCAAGTAGGGGCACAGAAAGCTTTGGTGACCTTTTGGTGGCTTTTACTGAGCGCTTCGGTGACGATTTCGGTGACAAGCTCACAGTTACGTTGATTGGCTGTTCCTCCTCAGCATCATCCTCTTTGTCATCATCCAACGGCAAAGCAAGCTTGGGAGAATGCTTCGGTGATCTCTTGGTAGCTTTGACCGTTGCTTTGGGGATGCTTTCGGCGACAAGGTTACAGTAACTTCCAATGGCTGTTCATCCTCTTCATCATCATCCAACGGCATAGCAAGCTTGGGAGAATGCTTCGGTGATCTCTTGGTAGCTCTGGCAAGTTGCTTTGGGGATGCTTTCGGCGACAAGGTTACAGTAACTCCAATGGCTGTTCATCCTCTCATCATCATCCAACGGCAAGCAAGCTTGGGAGAATGCTTCGGTGATCTCTTCGTAGCTTTGACCGGTTGCTTTGGGGATGTTTTCGGCGACAAAGTTACAGTAACTTCAAATGGCTGTTCATCCTCTTCATCATCATCCAACGGCATAGCAAGCTTGGGAGAATGCTTCGGTGATCTCTTGGTAGCTCTGCAAGTTGCTTTGGGGATGTTTTCGCGACAAGGTTACAGTAACTTCAATGGCTGTTCATCCTCTTCATCATCATCCAACGGCATAGCAAGCTTGGGAGAATGCTTAGGTGATCTCTTGGTAGCTTTGACCAGTTGCTTTGGGGATGTTTTCGGCGACAAGGTTACAGTAACTTCCAATGGCTGTGCATCCTCTTTGTCATCATCCAACGGCATAGCAGCTTGGGAGAATGCTTAGGTGATTCTTGGTTGCTTTGACCAGTTGCTTTGGGGATGTTTTCGGGACAAAGTTACAGTAACTTCCAATGGCTGTTCATCCTCTCCATCATCATCCAACGGCAAGAAGCTTGGGAGAATGCTTGGTGATCTCTTGGTAGCTCTGCAAGTTGCTTTGGGGATGTTTTCGGCGACAAGGTTACAGTAACTTCCAATGGCTGTTCATCCTCTTCATCATCATCAACGGCATAGCAAGCTTGGGAGAATGCTTCGGTGATCTCTTGGTAGCTCTGGCAGTTGCTTTGGGGATGTTTTCGGCGACAAGGTTACAGTAACTTCCAATGGCTGTTCATCCTCTTCATCATCATCCAACGGCATAGCAAGCTTGGGAGAATGCTTCGGTGATCTCTTGGTAGCTCTGGCAAGTTGCTTTGGGGATGCTTTCGGCGACAAGGTTACAGTAACTTCCAATGGCTGTTCATCCTCTCATCATCATCCAACGGCAAGCAAGCTTGGGAGAATGCTTCGGTGATCTCTTGGTAGCTCTGGCAGTTGCTTTGGGGATGTTTTCGGCGACAAAGTTACGGTAACTTCAAATGGCGTTCATCTTCATCATCATCCAACGGTATAGCAAGCTTGGGAGAGTGCTTTGGCGATTTGTTGGAAGGCTGCTTTGTGTAGTACTTGGGTGATTTGTTGGAAGACTTTGTCGGCAGCAGGGTGTCCAAGTGAAAATCAACAGAAGAGGAGGCATCATCGGAAGGAGTGTTAGGTGAATATGTGGCAGACTTGACAGAATCTTTTTCTTGTGTTGGTGAGGCCTTTGGTGACAATATGACTGAAACCTTCTTTGGTAGGGTTTTTCTGTATTCATCCGAGGAGGATCCATCATCTGACAATGGCAAGGAAAGCTTGGGTGACAATCTGGCGGTCTTGTGGGCTGGTTTTGGTGAGGGCTTTGGTGACAATAACACTGACACCATCATTGGTAGGGCTTCTCTGACTTCGTCCATGGAGGATTCATCATCAGCCAATGGCATGGACAGCTTGGGACAATCTTGCAGCCTTGTGGACCTGTTTCGGTGAGGACTTTGGTGACAAAGTGACTGAAACTGAAACTGTCATTGGTGGGGATTCTTTGTCTTCTTCATCAGTGGCAGATTCATCTCCAGCCGGAAAGCTTGGGAGACAATCTGGCAGTCTTGTAGACCTGTTTTGGTGAGGATTTTGGTGACAATGCGACTGAAACCGCCATTGGTAGGGCGGAGGATTCATCCTCCAATGGCATTGAAAGCTTGGGAGACAATCTGGCAGTCTTGCGGACCTGTTTCGGTGAGGCCTTTGGAGACAATGTCACTGAAACCTTCATTGGTAGGGCTTCTTTGTCTTCTTCATCAGTGGAGGATCATCATCAGCCAATGGCATGGACAGCTTGGGAGACAATCTTGCAGCCTTGTGGACCTGTTTCGGTGAGGACTTTGGTGACAATGTGACTGAAACTTCATTGGTAGGGCTTCTTTGTCTTCTTCATCGGTGCAGGATTCTTCCTCCAATGGCATTGAAAGCTTGGGAGACAATCTGGCAGTCTTGTGGACCTGTTTTGGTGAGGACTTTGGTGACAACGTGACTGAAACCGTCATTGGTAGGGCTTCTCTGTCTTCATCGGTGGAGGATTCATCCTCCAATGGCAAGGAAAGCTTGGGAGACAATCTGGCAGTCTTGTAGACCTGTTTTGGTGAGGACTTTGGTGACAATGTGACTGAAACCTTCATTGGTAGGGCTTCTTTGTCTTCATCGGTGGAGGATTCTCTCCTCCAATGGCATGAAAGCTTGGGAGACAATCTGGCAGTCTTGTGCCTGTTTTGGTGAGGACTTTGGTGACAACGTGACTGAAACCGTCATTGGTAGGGCTTCTCTGTCTTCATCGGTGGAGGATTCATCCTCCAATGGCATGAAAGCTTGGGAGACAATCTGGCAGTCTTGTAGTCCTGTTTTGGTGAGGACTTTGGTGACAATGTGACTGAAACCTTCATTGCTAGGGCTTCTTTGTCTTCTTCATCGGTGCAGGATTCTTCCTCCAATGGCATTGAAAGCTTGGGAGACAATCTGGCAGTCTTGTGGACCTGTTTTGGTGAGGACTTTGGTGACAACGTGACTGAAACCGTCATTGGTAGGGCTTCTCTGTCTTCATCGGTGGAGGATTCATCCTCCAATGGCAAGGAAAGCTTGGGAGACAACTGGCAGTCTTGTAGTCCTGTTTTGGTGAGGACTTTGGTGACAAGTGACTGAAACCTTCATTGCTAGGGCTTCTTTGTCTTCATCGGTGGAGGATTCTTCCTCCAATGGCATGAAAGCTTGGGAGACAATCTGGCAGTCTTGTGGACCTGTTTTGGTGAGGACTTTGGTGACAACGTGACTGAAACCGTCGTTGGTAGGGTTTCTCTGTCTTCTTCATCGGTGGAGGATTCATCCTCCAATGGCAAGGAAAGCTTGGGAGACAATCTGGGAGTCTTGTAGACCTGTTTTGGTGAGGACTTTGGTGACATTGTGACTGAAACCTTCATTGGAAGGGCTTCTTTGTCTTCTTTATTGGTGGAGGATTCATCATCCGCCAATGGCATGGAAAGCTTGGGAGACAATCTTGCAGCTTTGTGGGCATGTTTGGGTGAGGACTTCGGTGACAATGTGACTGAAACCTTCATTGGAAGGGCTTCTCTGTCTTCATCGGTGGAGTATTCATCCTCCAATGGCATCGACAGCTTGGGAAACAATCTTGCAGCCTTGTGGGCATGTTTTGATGAGGACTTTGGTGACAATGTGACTGAAACCTTCATTGGAAGGGCTTCTCTGTCTTCATCGGTGGAGGATTCATCATCTGCCAAGGGCATCGACAGCTTGGGAGAGAATCTTGCAGCCTTGTGGGCATGTTTTGGTGAGGAGGTTGGAGACAGAGTTACTGACACAGAGACAGCACGATCCTTTTGATCTGCAGAAGCCAACACATTTTGTTCAAAGAGCTTCTGTTTGGCATCTTTAGGTTTCTCTCTTTCTGCTTTCTTGACATACTTCGGCAACGGCTTAGGAGACAATGCAACATCTTCTTGCACTTGTTGAATGGCACTGTGGTAAACTTCGATATCATCTGAAACAGAGGTGTCATTGGACAAAGGCAGAGAACCTCTTGGTGAATGATTGGGTGATATGGCTGAATCATTTGCTGACCTATGAGAATGCTTTGGTGAAACCTCCAATCTCTTGGTTGCAATCTTGGGAGAAACCACGACTGAAGCATTGATGGGAGAAGATACATCTTCTAGCAACTCAGGTGATGAAACCTTTTCCGCGGAAGACAATGAAGGCTTTTGTGACCACTTGTTTGACTTTGAAGATTCTTTTGAAGCATGCTTTGGCCATGCAGTTGGTGCAACTGCCCTAGACACCATCACAGGTTGATCACCTGCCAGCAGAGGAGATGCATCATGAACGGTGGGACCCTGTGATGAAGACACCAAAACTGGTCCTCTTTTTGGAGAGGATGTCGGTTGATGTATTGGTGATGATCTTGGTGATACTGTTACGGTGACATGCATTGGTTCGGAGCCTCTGTCTAGTTTCGTTGTGGCCAAGCCCGGTTGCGAATCCAATGTGGGCATGAGCTTTGGTACTTTCTTTGGGGCAAGCCTTGGCATGTTACGAAGTCCTTTCTTTTGCTGAGACTTGGGCGACAGTGTAACTGAAATTTTCGTTGCTCTTTGATTTGTTTGTGCGTCCGAAGCAGCAGAAGAACTAACAGTCTCATCCATCGTCAACGGAACTTGTGGTAACTTCGGTACTGAGTCAGGACGTGATGATGAAGTACTGGAGTCGTCGAACGCCGCTGGCAGCTGCGGAAACTTTGGAAGTGGGGAAGTTCGAGCAGACTTTGGTGATCTCCTATTGGAACCTGCTTTGCTGGGTTTAGGTGACCTCCTGGGCGACATTGTGACGGACACCATCGGAGCCCCATTTCCTACTTCAATTTCAATCGAGACAGGCTCGTCCACAACTCCTGTCAAATCAGCACCACTCATTCTTGGATCGTGGAGTTTAACTGGATCAGAAGAATCAGGGTTCGCTTGTAACTCTTTATCATCCTCTTCTCCAGGGACTCCCTGGAACAATTTGTCCCGTGATGGAGATGGGGAAAGGGATTGCTTTTTTCGGTCGTCGAAATGATTCGTTGCGTCAATAACAGGATCAGACGGTTCTCTATCATTACTAGCCAGTTCTGCAACTGCAGGTTTCGTTCCTTGGGGAGCTTCCTTGTAGACAACTTCCGTCCCATCATGCGCCTGTTCCTCGACTGAAACAGTGCTGCCGTCTGGGTTTACAATGATGTTGAATTCAAATGATTCTGGGAGAGTTGCAGAAGCGCTTCCTCGGCTCTCCACCGAGCCGTCACTGTCGACGATGATCTTCGAATCTTGTTGTGTCGAATCATTCCGAATCGGGTCGTCGGCTGGAGGGTCTGCCTTCTTTGAAGCGGAAAGAATTCCACCGGAGCGGTCGTTCTCATTCGCGACTGGTGCGTCTTCTGGTCGGTAAGGCTCCGTCGCAGCAACCTCTGCGTATGTTCTTGGGTTCCATGTTTCAATGATCAGTGGGGTCCCCCATGGTGCAACAGACGAAGCTTTCCAAGGTGAGGCAATGGAAACGGCAGGTACACTCTCTTCGAAATCACGGACTGGTGCTTTCTCCGGTTCATCATCGATAGGCCAACCGAGCGCGTGCTGATGCTGAACTGGCGGATCTCTGCTTGGCGGATCGATAGCGTCTATTTCGTGGGAGTCGTCTGATGGGATTCTAGCATGGGCATTCTGTTCTGTGGACGCCGCGGTTTTCTGATCAGTAGAAGAAGCAGGCCGCGGCTCTTCCACAGATGCTTGCTGCCCGACCACAGATTCTCGAGGGCTCTCTGATGGTGTTTGTTTTTCAGCTCGTGCCCTTGAAACTGTTGCATCTCCTGTCACCAAAACTGTCCTGGAGCCGTCTTTTCCCTTCGACTTCTCAACTCTCGCGCTTCCCTTTAGCACAACCGGGACAATCGGCAATTGCTTAGGCAAAACTTGCATCTGTAGATTAGAGGCATTACTTTGCGGAGCAGGGACCGTCTCTGTGATGTCAACTCTGTCACAACTGCTCGGTTGTGTTGGCACCTTTTCCGGTGAAGGTTGCGACGTGCCGGTTGTGGGTCGTCTCTGCGGAGCTTCAGCGTCCGCCGTCTTCGTTGGTTTCTCTACGGCCCTCTTCGAAGGCAAGTCAAATGCACATTGCGACGAGCGTGTGGAGCGGCTTCTTAGAGGCGCTTCTATCGACCTCCCCACTGACGAGTCAGGCAAAGACTGCGACGTCCATGCGGCGTGGCTTCTTTCCGGAACTTCACTCACCGTCTCCGCTTGCGGGTGATGGGCGACTTCGACCTCTATTTCCATTTTGGGAACGCTTTTCCCCTTCTTCGTCCTGGTGGCCTTGCTGCTGTGGTGATCTTTGCTGTCGCTTGGCTTCTGTACAGTCATACCCAGTTGATGAGTCTTCTTCGCGCGAACCAGGGGATGTCCCTCGGCAACTTCGACTTCGATTTCTACCTCTGGAAAGCTTGGGCCATTCTTTGATGGCACTGGAGATATGGAAACTGTTGTGCGAGCAGGGGTTCCCTTAAAGGCACGGTTTGCGGCCTTGGCAGGTATCCTGCCAGGGATCTGAGGATCACCTTTGGATGTCTTTTCTTCGTCAGATGGGAGATCGCTATCTGGGCTGCCAACGCGCCGTAACACGCTTCGGTTGGCGGGCACTAGAGGTGCCGAGAACTCGTCTTCCTCTGGTTCGCGTAGCTTCGTCTTAACTGGAACAATCCTTCCTCGTCTGGGAACGGCGGCATCTGGCACCGATCGCAAAGCTACTCGATACGCCGACACTTGTGGGGGCTCAGGGGGCATCTGCATCGAAAATCTGTCCTCCGGCGATTTCAATTGATTGAGGGAATGCTGCAGAGCCGTTGATCTGGGTGTCAAGGCTGGTGAGAAAGCCGATCTCGTCTTGATATCGATTCCACGGATGACGTCACCAGCATGTCCGGTGGCTTTCAAGCTTGGACGCCCTGCAGCCCATAGTGGCTTGGCTCGAATTGTATTGTCCTCCTCCGTGGGCGGCTCCACAACCAAATGTGGGATCGTTGGGGGCGGCAAGGAGCTCCTTGCAGCGGGCTTGCTTGCTATGGTAGACGAGACTATTTGAGGCTTGACATCGACCCCTCTTGACACAGCGTCACCTCGTCCCGTAGGCTTCAATTTGGGCCGTTCGACGGCCCATGAGGGTTGAGGCGAGGGAGGACTGGACCCGAAACTGAACGATCGCGCCCTAGTAGCCCCCGCTTGTTGAGACGGTTCCAAACTCGATGGCCGTGGCTTGAAAGTTCCAAGCGGAGGCCTAGCAGCCAACGGAATTGACATAGAGGATCTTCCTCGAACGGCTCGACCAGGGGACGCTGTGCTGGTTGGAGGCGCCGAAGGCTTTACAACGGCTTCTTGCGAGTGCAGAGATGGAGCTTCGTCAAATGGCGCTTCGGAGTCGGGCGTGTTCTCTCGTTTCCATGATGGTCTTCTCCGTCGATGAGCAGATTCTTCGGAATCAGACTTGATGTCTTTCCCTTTCATCACATCGTCTGCAAAGCCCGTGGGTTTCAATTTGCTAGCCCAAGCAGGCGTCGTGGACTGCTTATCGTTGACAGCGGCGGCAGCAGCCATAGCAGCGGCCGCAGCTGCGGGTATAGCGGACTCGCTCCTGTCCAGCCCAGTACCGTCGGGCATGTTGCTGGTGGTGGTAACCGTGATCGTCGTAGTGATTGATTTTGTGAAGTCCTTGGCCTTTGGTTCGTCTCTTGTCTCCGGGTCAGCCACAACAGGTGTTTGAGGTTTGTCCTGCGTTAGTGGCGGCTCCGTGGCTTGATCTGGCTCGAGTTCTGCCCCTATCGTTGTAGGATCCGATTTGTATTCTTCTTCCTTCTTCTTGTTGGCCTGCACTGGCGTGGTCTGCTCTGGCGCTTCCACTGGCTCTTCACCGCTCGTCTCGGTATCAATCTTAGGCGGTGCCTGCCATAAATCCTTTTTCTTCCCCGTGCTTTTGAGTTTCACAGCTCCGCTGGCCCACGATGGTGCGGTGGCTGCACCACTCGAGTCGCCGTCCTCCGTCTGCAAACTTCGTGTGCTCTCAGGAGGGGCCTCCAAAACGACAGCTTCGGTGAGGGCGCTGACTCCGCTCATACTGATATCATCTTCGTAATTAACACTCCGCACCGGTACCACGATGCTCCTATTCGATGCTTGTGAAGTGTGTCGGGGAGGTAAATCTGGCGACGCTGGCGGAATGTTCCGCATCATTATCGCTCTGGGAGGTAAATCAGGGGATGCTGGCGGGATCGTCTTGTATAGGTACGGCTTGGGAGCTGTGGATGGGGACGCTGGAGTGGTGCTTCGGTTGGAGAACCTTCGCTGTGTTTGGATAGGAGATGCTGGAGGGAGTCCCCTGTTGCTCGATTGTCGGCGAGGAGGCTGCCCAGCACCAGGTGCCGGAGATGGTGGAGCCATACTTCTGTTGGATGGGACCCTTGGAATCGGCGAGTTAGGAGCAGGTATCGGCGAAACAGAAGGCACACTTCGGATGGATGACACAGTTTGTTTCGGTTCGGAATGTTGCGGAGGTTGCGGTTCAGGGGGTGGTGTTGCTTCTCTCGGGACAACCGGGGGTTCTACAGCAACACTTTGCTCCACTGGAGGTGCCACCAACTTGTTTTGCTGAGCCCGCTCTTGTTGTTCCAGTTGCTTTCGCTGTTTCCACTCCTCCAATTCTTCGGGCGTCATGTCTTCAAATGGTTTTGGAACAAATGGCTGATACCAGTCTGGACGGTTGGGAGATCCAATATCAATGCTATTCATGACAGCTTCTCCCCGAGGTGTCGCTTTTAGGCTGGGTTTGCTCGTTGCCCACGATGGTGGCTTGGATGGATGCGGTGGTGGTTGCTTGACCTGAGGAGAACTGGACCTCAACATCGGTTTACCGGTATTAGCCCAAGAGGGCGCTGACATGGTTCGCACAGGTGCCGTACCGCGCATCGTCGCTCTTGTTGGGGCTTCACTTTCTCTCGGCGGTTGCTGTTTCGGTAGCTGCACTGGCGAGTCTCTTTGTTGCTGTGACCACGGAGCATTTCTCGGCTGTGATTGCGACGGAGAGGGTCTGTGTGATGCGATTGAGGTCTGCGACGAATCTGTGGGTGGTGTCCATCCAGGAGGATGGGCCACCACCGGATGCGGCTTGGGTTCCTTCTGCTGACTCTCCTCCTTGGCTGGACGATTCGCTTGCCTACCCCAACGACGAATGGAAGCTTCTGGGTTTGACGGGGTTGACTCCAGCCCTTCTGGTTGCTTGGTTTGTTGTTGGGGTTGTGGCTTTGGTGGCGGCCACTGTTTAGTCGCAGGTGGCTCCTCTGGTTCTAGCGATGGTTGTTGAGACTCCGGTTGTGGTGGCCATTGCTTCTTCTTTTGCCATGGCAGAGGCGATGGCTGAGACCTCTGCTGCTGTGGCGGCCACTGCTTGGTCGCAGTTGGTTGTTCTGGTGTTGGCGACGGCTGTAAGCGTTGTGGCTGAGGAGGCCATTGTCTCTTCCATGGTGGGTTACTTGGAGCTTTCTGAGGAGGTTCTTCGGGTTGCTCTTGTGTCAGCGGTTCACTCTGCGGGGCTTGCCGTGCGGGTTGTGGAGGCGGTTGTTCTGCTAGGGGTTGCTTCAATAGCTGTTGCTGCTGATAAGGTGTAATGTCATTGCCCTGGGAAGGAGGAGGTTGCATAGGGAGCGACGCATGCGGAGGCTTGATATCCTTTCCTTTCAAGACGGCGTCTGCATGTCCGGTGGACTTCAACTTGGCACTTGCCCAAACGGGAGGCGATGGTGCTCGCGCCGCTGGAGTAATGGTATCACTCGGTGGTGGGACCTGGTTAAGTCGAGACTTTGGATTGGGTGGTTCTGGCTGATGGACGTCATCTGGTTGTTGTGTCTCTGGCTGGCTGGGCGTGACGACAGGTAACTCTGAGGGTCTTGTAGGTTTGATTTTTCCCTTGACAATCTTCTTTTTGAGTTTTTTCTGCCAGTAGGGCACACCGTCCTTATCAATGTGACCCGGTGGTCGCTTTTTCTTCTTCTTGGTTGCGCCTGGTTCTGTTGGTGGTGGACCAGGATCTTGCAACCGCTCAGGCGGCGGTTGCTGTTGTGAGTATTGCGGTTGCATTTGTGAGTATTGTGGCTGTGATTGCGACAATTGCGTTGGTTGAGCTTGCTTTTGAGCTTTCTTCTTGGATTTGGCTGGTGAAATCTTCTTGCTGGTAGCGGTACTGGTAGTAGGTGTTGGTTGGTACGGTGGCTGGTTCTGACTGTCTTGCAGTTGAGGATGAGGAGGATAAGGAGAGTGCTGGGGAGGATACCGTTGGCTTTGAGGAGGAGGCTGTTGTGGGGGATATTGGTGCTGCTGAGGTGGATACTGCTGTTGAAGTCGGTATGAAGGTTGGGGTGGATACTGCTGTGGGTGTTGTGTAGGTCCTTGATTGTATGGATTGTAGTGCTGTTGCGAAGGTCCAGGATTGTAGGGTTGCTGAGGTGGGTACTGCTGTTCCTGTTGCTGTTGCTGTTGAAACTGAGGGGTATACTGTTCACCAAGCATATGCATCTGATCACTGCCGGTAGGTTGATTGGTATACTCCATCATTTGTGGCGATTGTTGTTGTTCTGGAAATCTTTGGTCTCTGTTCTCCTGCGATTGTGCTTGTGCTTGTGAACCCCACAACTGTCGATCTGATCCCGTCTTGGCCAGCCTAGAAGTACTCCACACAGGAGGAGGCGCCGGAGCACTTTGTCGTCTACTTGTGCTTGTACCGGTAGGGTTGTCTGGAGCATGGAGAGCCTCGTGAAAGGGTCTGATTATCTCAGGTACACGAGGTTGTCCAGCACTACTTGCAGAAGGATTGTAGGGCATGTGTGCGTCTGGCACACTAGCTCGCCGCTGATCGGCCATCACTTGGTGGTTTCGAAGTCCAGTTTCTCGCAAAGAGGGTCTATTGTGGGCGACTTCTTCGAGTGTCGTGGAAGCAGCAGTAGGGACTCTTAGCTCGAAAGGGATGGGAGACGAAGACGTCGAAGGGACAGGAACACCTTTAGCTTCTACTCGATAGCGGGCTCCTCGACTGCTGGGACTTTCTTCTCCAGCATTGCTACCCCTTCTTAACCTTGTACCGGTACCAGCCCATGGATTCGCACTTGGGTCTTGTTGTTGCTGTGGCTGTTGGTAGCTCATTGTTGTTGTTGTTGTTGTTGTTGTGTTAGTGGAGTCGAAGCACCACAACGTGTAGGGAAAGACACCCTGGAAGGGGTCGGGTGTCTTGCTGTCTTGGTCCTCTTCTTCTTACCTGTCAAAGTGTTGTTATTGTTCTATTCATTCATCCATCCTTGCTCGGTTGTTCGGAAGAAGACAGGAACGAATGAGGGCACCCGTCGCCAAGAAAGAGGGAAATGGCGCGTGCGAGCGCAGCTAGAGTACTCTTTTACTATAGCTTTTAGGATGAGGGCCCCATTTGTTAGGTTTCTTCGAGCTGTTGCTCCCTTAAGTAGCTTAAGAAACAGTAAGCTTTCGGCTTATCACAAAACGTGGTGGGGCTCGCTCGTTCCTCCGGCTTCCGGATACGATCCAACTCTAACTCTAAACTAGTGATTTGATCAAATGCGTTCTATTCGATCATTCAATCGGATCGAATGATTGTATCGAACGAAGATCAATCGATTAAGTCGATTCGATTCATCATTCGGATCGAATCGATTCGATTCGAATTTATTGCCTCCACCAAAGGAGAGAGCATCACCACAGCAGCTGCAGTACTGGTAGTAGTCTAGTGTCAGACAACAACATCAACAAGAAATACATCAAACAAGGAACTGCGGAAAAGGATTGCGCTAGATCTATCCTATTGGAGGGTACACGTGTAGGACTAGTTATTGAGGACTTGGAATCGAATCACATTCCGTACGGGCACCCGGCACAGTTAATTGGCACTCTTACTAGCTAGTATGTAGAATAGATCGTTTCAGATTGATCGAGTTTTTCGTTTTTCGTTTTAAGATAGACTCTGGCCCATAACGGTATGCTAGTACCGGTATTGTGAGCCCCTTCCTATACCGTACCTTTCCTCTACTACTATTAATATAAATATCATTCTGAATGATGTGCATGTGCGCATCAGTTGGAGGTTGATCTTGCTTGTCCGTCTGTCTTGTCTTTTGATTCAAGGACGGTTGCACCACTACCGAATGGCGGGCATCATGATGCTGTCACCATTCCTCCAGCTTTTGGGTGGCTTGTCCGTACACTGTCTCTGTCTGGGATGATGCCATGGTGAATCGCTACATGCTCGTCGTCGCTTGGGTTCTAGTCGTCGCAGCACAAAGGGTTGATCTACATGTCCATTCGATTCTTCCACTTGTTCTCTCGTCTCTTCTTCTTTTGTTTCATCCAGAAGCATGCGTTCATTCGGAACGCACAGTGACTCGGGAACGGGATCATCGGGATGACGCCGCCGGTCTTGATCCATTGGAAATCTGGGTTCCCAAACCACACTCCACGAGGATTCCGGATTGCCAGCACACGTCGTCGTTGTTGTCCCAGTAGTGACATGCTGCTGTCGGACTCGCATGGGCAAGGAATGACGACAATAGTGTGCAAACGCCGCAGTGGGAGTATACGGAACAAGGGGATGATTCCTCTTGGTATCGTTGGTGGGAGTTTGGAGTCCCATGGGTAGCTGACTATGAGAAGTGTCTTCCAATATGGGGACCATTAGATCCAAGCCAACACTCGTCATTGGGCCCTCCTCAGGACTGTTGTCTTGATGGAATCGGAAGGATGGAGGAGATCGCAGGTGTTTGTGGCCGACTTTCGCATAGGGAGTCTCCATCGAGTGACTGTCACTCATCAATGGCGTTTTGGGTGGCTCAAAAAGATCAGACATCATGGTTTGCTTTGGTCTGGTTTGGAGGTTCAGGTGCTGCCAATCGAGATGATACTGTTGCAATGCTGCTGCAATTGTGAGAATTTGGATATGGAAGCTTTGGGTTGGAAAACAATGCTGAAGGAGTGGTTGACCTGGGAGACAGCCGTTGAGTTATCGAACGTCTCCAAGTTCCTTCAAATTTTGGTGGTGATTATTGAAATATTGTGGCCACCAGATTGAAATGACAAGGCTGGCGTGCACCAAGGTTGGTATTTAGGGTATCGAAGATCGTAATTAGACTCCAATGTCGTACTATCAGTTTGATAGTGACCTCTCACAGGATCTGCGGCCACAACCTTCCATATCTTTTGCTCGGACAGACCCAAGCAAGATTCCAACAGCAATGGTCATTGCTCGTCAAAGGATGGATCCAGGCCAGTGCTGCACGCTTCACATGTTGTAACCACCCCATTAACCACACAATCATGCAGTTCCGATCCCACAAATGGAACAACGGAGACTTTGGAAATCTTAGCTACTGGTCTAGTAGTACGGCATAATATATCTGAAGCAATGCAGCGCCTACTCCTTCTTGTTTCTCTAGCTTTCCTCTGCCAGTGGACAACCCTCAGCATTGCTTTGGCCAAAAAGATCGATCCCGTACCGGTACATGTTGCGAAGAATCACGGCCGAGAGGAGACATTCGAATGCCAGCCGGAATACTCCAGCTGCTACTTCCAGAATTGCTGTGACAATCTCGTCTGCTTCACCGACGGTAACCAAAACAACTATCATGCCTCGGCGTCGGCCAAGTTCAAAAGGAGCCGCATTCGAAGTAACAGCACTTGCTATTCGGAACGATCTTTGGATCTGCATACCAAAACAGACGAAGAAAAGTTGGACCTCATGCGACGATTCTACGAAGAATTGGTGCCATACCACAGCCGCAAATCCACAGAACAAATCGAACGCATGGTAGACCATCATCGATCCTCATTCCCAAAGTTGGTGGCCAGATTGGAAAAGAGATACAAAATCACGTTTTTCTCCTCGTCACAACTTGCTGACACCAAGATGCATGAACTGTAAAGTAAAATCATAATACTGTATCTGCACAAAAAAGGCCACTTACTTCCTGTACGGCCGGTACCTAGATAACCTGAAGCATGCCAGTGCCTCTTAGCCAATGTCGGCACAGGTGATATTGGTTTTTTGCTTGATTCAATTCAATCAGTCCATTGTTTTCTTGTGCGTGTAGTTCGTCGCCTTGATCTTCGCACATGCCGCAGATGCTCGATGCTCGATGCTCGACCCCTAAACTTCCATCTTGGGCTGGCTGAGCACAATCGATATAGCAGGGAGCACCTTGAACAGTCAGGTGTGTTGTACTAGTATTCGGGAGACCCACACCGCAATCGACATGTCGGATGCCAACAATATCGTCTAACTTGCGGCTTTCGGGTTGGATCAGCTTTGAGGTACGGAATTCCCAGCAAAACTGCTGGGGCAATGGTAGGGTCTTTTTGGCGCTGACGTCGGCGACCTTAGTGGTGCCTCTTAGTAATACTGATGTCACTGGGTTAATTCATGACAGAATTGGAATTCTGAAGATCCCACTTTAGTAAAAGCGTTGCGAAGGATAAAAAGATACTTAGAGCATTTTGGTACAACTGGGTCACAGACTCGACTCGCATTTTTCCAGGGACGGTTTTCAATCAGGCATGGATCATCATCGATCATCAACCCCAAAACTCTCACGCTCTCTTCAATTTCCATCATATTGTTTCCCCCCTTGCGGTACATTGCCTTTCATACGAAGCAAGATGACGCTAAAGGTTCCTGATTCGATAGAATTTGCTCCCGGCAAAAACACATACCTTTGTCGTTGGGACACAGGCGAAGAGTTCAATGATGGTGTGAGCGAAGTCTCTTCAGGGTCGGTAGGCTCTTCCGACTACTCTGGAAGCGGTGACTTTGATGAAGGACCTCGTGGTTTTCGCCATTCGGATATTGCACCCATCAACTTGAGGAGGCATGCCAATGAAGCCACCAAGAATCTGAGGAACAGCGACACCACTGGCACCAGAAGCAGCAATTCAAAAACTTATTCACCCCTTCGCCTCCCAAAAGGAGTGTCACTCCTCCAATGAATGGTGATCGATGGGGCAACATCAAGAGCGGGAAGAAAGCCTTGAACTGCAAAAGGGCATCTGAACAGTCTGGTGTTGATATTAATGATATCATGCTGCAGCCTATTCAGTTCATGGATTTGAAACCTGTTCCCAAATCCAACCACACCATACTCTCCGATATTCTGCTGAACAGCACCGCCACAGAAAAGAGTGCTGCCAGGCTTCAAGTCAATGCAGCGGAAGGAGATGACAGCAACAAAGTGACAGCAGTATTTTGCATTCGGCGCGCTGGTTGTGGCATGTGCAGAGATCATGGTCTCTCTTTGAGCACTCAGCTCAAGCCCAAACTGCACGAAAAAGGAATTGGCCTCAATCTTTTTGGAATTGTCAAGGATTTGGATGGATCCGGCGAAGGAGATGTTTCGGACCACAGACGAGACAGGAAAGATAAGAAGACATCTGCCAAAATATTGACAGGTAAGGCAGTTTACACCGGACTGGGCCTGTGACAGCACTCTTTTTGAATCTTCCAGTCTTGCTCATCCATGCTGTTAATCTATTTGTTGCCTACCAGACTTCTACACAAACTACTTTCCATTTCCAATGTACACAGACAGAAACTGGGATTCGTTCACATTCTTAGGAAATCGAAAGACAAGCATGTGGAGAATGTTCCAAAGGAGCTCCACTGTCTATCAGAGATATCACCGCAAGAAAATCAGCAATATTATCAATGACCCTCGTGGAGATCCACTCACACAAGGAGGTGTCCTTCTGTTTGATGCCAAGGGACATTTGAGGTATGTGTACTATGAACGATATGGAGATGAACTGGATCTGGAGGCACTCCAGTGGGCAGTGCAAGATATTGTCAGGAGTACTGGTGCTAGTAGTGACAGGAACATGAGCAACAAAAAAGAACCAACAGTAGCGCCTCGTCTGCCGCGACGACGAGGGACGTTCGACAAAGGTCTCATGGCTGGTGCTGTTGGCTCTGGCGGGGAAAAACCTAACAAAAACAGCCGTGATAATGCTCCGAATGGAATACGGAAGCCACAACGTCGTGGTTCTATTGACGATGCTGAGAAAGCTTATGATTTGCAAGTTCAGGACGACGGGAGTTTTGACAGCAAACAATAGAGCACACATGACACCAACTTAGATTCATATAGTTTTGTTAGCACCTATTTCCTCCTCGGCAGACCCACACCCGGAGCTTGGAATCTTTTGGAGAATTGGCTCTGGTGTCCGCATATTTTTCTGGTTCTCGAGCTGGACCTGTTCTGGGATTTCAGGTGGTGGCGATAACGACAAGCTTGACTATAAATCTATTGAAAAATCATATCTGTCCGGTGATGGCGGAGGCAATCTTTGTAATATATAGCTGATATATTCCACATTTCATAGCTCCCCCATTGCCCAACGCTATCTACTTAGACAGCTCTGCAGGTTCTGTTGAGTCATGACTTTGCAGTCACGGCGGTGACTCTCGAGATCGAGCAGTTGGACATGCCAGCACTAATTCCACGGTACTGGTGTGGTTGCAGGATGTCATTTACGCTTTAGCGCTGCCTGGATTGAATCAAGCGCTAGCCTTTGAGTGTCACGGAAGGATCTTCGGGTTCTCATGCGAGTGTCAGTGGAGGCGCGTTGCACTGAAGTCAGGGGTATGTGTTCTCTAACTCGCTGATTTGTTCGCCCAGGAACTTCGAGGAATTCCAGGGGGCACTCACGTTAAGGCTTAGTAGGTTAAGAACCTTCGTACGTCAGTGTAGGAAGTGTTCGCATTGATCCTACTGTATTTCTATAGTCGGACTATGCTAGTGCCTTCCTGGAGCGTGTTACGGAAGTAGGCGGTTGCTCCATGACGGTACGAGTGATAATAGCTAGTGTACGGTAGTGTTGAAGATTGCTAACTACCGATTAGTAGCCAGCCACGAGTAATGTGTTCTTCACAGAATTTTTTGACTGTCATTTACTCCACTAGTACGGTACGGAGTGGCTGTACCTGTACGGGTTCTTCCTTATTCACAAGTGAGGTATGGAGGTCTTAAGCATCATTCCCTAGTTGTTCGCCATACTGAGTCATGATGGGAAGCTTCTGAAGAGAACTCCCCCATAGCACGACTACTACTATTATTAATCTAAGGACGCTATTGGGTACTATTCGATTGTAGAGACTTGCCAGTCTTTAAGCCTGGAGGTGAAGCCCCCCCCAAGCCTTTACGGGCTGAATGATACGAAGAATATCACGGGGAATGGAAGACTATAACTCACCCGGATCTGATGTGTATTTGTTCTGTGTTCCACGGCCTACTAAGACACACGACATGCTTACAGATTTATAGTGTCGTCCACCTCGAGCTCTACAGAATCTGTTTGCTGCAGACTTGTCTTATATGAGAGGCGAAGTCAGACTTGTCCTGGTATCTAGTACTGTCTAGTGCATACTAATTCCTAACACTAAAGCAATCTTTGTGGAAGGAGCAGGAACGATTCGGAACACAAGGGAACACCATCAAGAATCGAACTACAAGCCCACAAACCCTAACTCTATGGGGACTGTAGCTAGCAAGAACTACGAGACCACCCATTGCTTGTGCAATACAAGGTCTTTAGCCTAATTCGCGACTCGATCCTAGATAGGGTTTGAGTTCAACTCAAAACTGATTTTTTCGTGAATAGTCATTGAGACAGGGTTCTCAATGACCTCTAGTCATACTAGGTTGATGATGAAACATCGCTCTAGATAATTAGCTGGCGTGGAGAGCTTCCTTCCACGCTACTAGTTGATTGCTAGCTGGAGTTTCCACACGTTCCGGAAATGGGATCGTAGAGTACGTAGATTCCCTGCTGCAATCTACGATATCAGTCTTCCAAGTCTCCCGCGGGAGTTTGGATCCTCAAGCTTCAGGACGAAGCTCTCTTTTTGATTAGTTTTCGTAGCTTTCTAATTTCTCTCATAATTTAGTTTCTCTCAAACTCAAAAGATTCGAAAGATGTTTACACTAGCTTTTAGCGTAGTGCACTTGAGCCTTGGCCCCGCGCAGGATCGAATCTACTGTGAAGAGATGAGGTAAGCAAACGAAACGGGGTAGTGCGTCGTATTGTTAATCTTATAAATCTATTGAAAAATTCTATCTGTCCGGTGATGGTGGAGGCAATCTTCTTTTTGTAGTATAGCTGATATATTCCACATTTCATAGCTTGAGGCTGGTGCATCGTGCGTGGTCGGCCGTACTCGGGTGCAGTCTCCACTGCTCTGGGTCTCCCCAGCTGGGGTACGTGCTACTGGAATTACGCATAGACGGATATTGCTCCAAGAAGCCAAGCAAGACGTTCGTTCACTATCACCAAACTCAGTATTCAGAGCCAGGAAACCACTACCATCTACATTTTCTTAAATCACGAAGTCTTATAAATCATACTCTCTGTTGCCATGTCATTGAAATTCTGGCAACATTGGAGCCTTGGGAACAGTCCCTCTTTCAGGAACTGGAGTTCACGGTGGACGCCTACTCGGTATTGCACATGGTTACGATGGTGCCTTTCCTTGTGGCAAGTGACGGAGCTGCAGACATTTCTGTTGGAAAAGCGAGTTTTGCGTGGGTTTTGGCCGACCAGCTGGGCCACATTGTACTCAGATGTTCTGGACCAGTGTTTGGACTGACTTCGACGTCCTACCGTGCCGAGGCATATGATATTTTGTCGCCTGCCTGCTTCCTGAAAAAGCTCTTGCAGTATCACGATCGACAAACAATGGCCCAATATACGTACCTTTGCGACAATGAATCAGTGACGAACAAGGGCAAGACTTGCCTGGATTACATCGGCTGGTATCCAAACGATTCCCTAGCATCCGACTGGGATGTCCTCTAACAGATTGAACAGACATTCAGGGATGCAGTAACAGTCCCTCAAATGGAACACATCAAGTCCCACCAGGACAAATCCAGGGCAATTGAAATGCTGCCACTGAAGGCCCAGCTCAACTGTCGGGCTGACAAGCTTGCTGACAGTTTCATGAAGAGGCACTTGGCTGTGGATCACTCCAGGGTTCTTCATTTCCCTGTCAACTTGGCACAGCTGAAATTGCCCACGGGACATGTACATACAAATTACCTCGGACATTGCGGCACCTTCGCAACAATCAACCACTTCTGGATCAAATGATAAAGCAGAATCGGGACTGGGACGAGGATACACCAGCTCTGATTGATTGAGTGCCGCACGGAAGAGCAGTCAACCGGCACGAGATCCACAAGCCAACCATCGTGAAGTTTCTATTCCAGCTGCTCCCGGTGGGAAGCTGGTACACAGGGACGACCCCAAGTATGATCACAAGTGCCCCAGAGGCACGAATCCAGTCCTGCTGGAGATCGTCCTCGATGGCTTTTTTAAATACCACTTCGAAAACAGGTTCCTGCATCCATGGCATTACCCAGACAGGTACCTGATTGACGCTCAGAACTTGATCCGGTGGGACAATCTCATGCGGGGACGGATGGCCAAGCAATGGGCCAAGCACCAGGATGCATATTTGCATCGGGTCGGTTTCAAGGAGACTTCCAAAACAGGACAGCTGTGTGGGTCCACCAACCTGGCCTCACTGCTCATCCAGTAGTGGTGGAAACTATGGGAAGATCACAATGCCGCCAGGCATGGCAGAGACAAGGAGGAACAATGGAAGAAGAAGCACGAACAGCTTCAACGGGAGGCGGAGCTCATCCATGAGAAGGCGGATCTGATTCCAGCGGAGCTAGTTGATTTCATCTTCAAGCAACCACTTGATGAGCAAATGGGCAAAGGGCCCCGGCGATATCAAAGCGTGGCTAGCCAACTAACTGGCTGCCCATCGTCGACAAGGCACTCAGAGAAGAGCACGCACGCAACGGACCAATCAATGAAACAGGGTAACTACGTACCGAGGGGGTCTTACCGTAGAAATAGATGGCAATCTAGCCCTGGGGTAGTTAGATACTAACAAAGCACCATCCGGAGATTTTAAACTTCTCCGGTGGGGGGCTTGCACTAGGCTCGTTCCTAAGTGGGCACCTTCGTGTGACTCACCGTTCAGCGGATCGTCTAATGAAGTGCAGCAGCCTAAATAATAAAACTTTGTTATTTCTGAGTCATTGAAATCTTGTCAGAGTTGGTTTCAAGAAGCCAGAAGGAAGATCTCGATATCTCTTCTATCAAGATTTTTCTGAAATTCCCCATCATTATATAAGAATTCGTAGGTATCCCATACATTTGGCATATAAGAACCGCTTCCTTCCGAACCTCACGAAGTTCTCCTTTGTTCTGTGGCCAAAAGTGCTTGCTCCGCTTTCACGAGCAACAGCATACTCTAGAGTAGCATAATAGTGATTGATAGTTTTTTTATTCATAGTGGTAGGGAATGTGTAAGTAAGGTACCGGTAGGGTATGTTTATCACCGTTCAGTTGGACTTAGATTCAAAAAGACCATCAGAGGACGGTGCTATGGTCCAAAGATAGTCACTCCTGGTACAAGTTGTTTTCATAGTGTATGCAAGCTTTGGCAGGTCTGACACTGGCATGCAACTACTGAAGCAGCCCTATCATCTGCGTTTTGAACAGCAGCACGTCTGGAGAACTCTCGCGCTGACGTTCCATGGCCCATGGCATGGAAAGCCCCCTCATTGGTTCGTTCTGCCCCCGTCATTGTTGCGAAGCACACCATCTCACTATTTGTGAAATCGATCCCCACGCTCCTCACCCACATTTCAAGTACATCACTACCGGTACACCTTGTCAGCCCCGGCAGTCATCGTCTAGTCCCCACAGTTGGATACACCAATGCTCAACACTCCACTAGTACAGCTTCCCAATGCCCATCGAACAAGACTACCTTTTAAAGCATTGATGTTTCACGGCAGCTGTTCCTGACCATCCGCTGCCACTCACAGCAGTCACTTTCGGAGCTTTTCTTGTCACCTTGGAACGATAGGAGCAGGCCATACTTCAAGAACTCGAGTGATTGGTAGATGCTTACTCCATGCTGCTGATGGGCTTTACACTGCCAATGTTTCTCGTGGCAAGAAATGGAGCAGCGGATATTGAGGCTATCAAAGCTAGCTAGCTTCGCCTGAGTTTTGACAGATCAGAAGTAATGTGGCCAAATGTGCTGGACCAGTGTTTGGCATAATTCCAACGCCGTAGCTATCGAAAAGTTACCACAGAGTGCAAGCTCGTGTTTTCGCGATTCAGCAGCTTGTAGGTAAACTAGCTTAGTTCAGTCACTTTTTGCACTTCATAAAACTTGTTGTCCGCACGACAGTTCAACTGTGCCTTCAACGGTAGTGTGTTGATGATTCTATGTTTGTTCTGATGGGTCTTAATATGTTCAAGTTACGCAACTGCATTCGCCTCACTCTGGTGCTGCCTCG